TCCCCCCCCCCCCCCCCGTATTGATAGCAGCAGCAGCAGCAGTCTCCAAGTTCTCAGTAGTAATACTACCAGGCTTGCTTGGAAATCTCTCCGAGACATATGCAGACGTCCATTAGCTTTCCAAAAGACATAATCGTCTCCGACTGGTAGCCAGAAAAAAAAAGCAGTTCTCAAGTTTTATACAGGCTGGTAGGAGGTAGCACTCGAGCTCTACCCGTACCACTCACTCACTAGCAGCAGCAGCAGTACCTAGTCTCCAAATGTGCACGAATGCAAATTTCTTAGGAAATCTCTCCGAGACATATGCGGACGTCTATTAGCTTTCCAAGAGATATAATCGTCTCTGAGTGGTAGCCAGAAAAACAAAACAAAGCAGTTTTTTCAACAAGGTTCTTTGCAGGTTGGCTAGCTGGTTAGCACTCACAAGCATACATACTCCCTTCCTAGGATCATGGCACAATTGCTGGATTTTTGAAGTTTCTTCGAAACTATATGCAGACATCAATTAGCTTTCCAGTTTTCAAATTTCCTCTCTCTCTATCTCTCTCTCTCTCTCTCTCTCCCGAGCGGGCAGAAGAAGAACAGCTTCTTTCGGTTCTCGCAGAGTCTAGCTTCTCGAGGCTTGGCTTGCGTGTACATGCTGGGAGAGTGAGTGAGACTCCCTGCGGACATGGACTGGTATACCACAATTTTGAAGAGCCGAGAGCCAGTAGACGGCGAAGGGAGGTAGGACAGACAGCCTGTAGAGGGGACAGTACCTCCTAGCTTGACCCAGACAACATGAATTGATTCGAACCGGATTGAGCAAGATTATTGTGGCTGTACACCTAGGAGTGACTCCTGGCCGTACACATAGCGAGTACGCATATATATATCGATGGCTAGGTAGCAAGTGAGACTCATGCAGTCACCCATTAGTCCGCCATGATGTTGATGAGCTGATAGCCTGTGACTTCGCAGGATGGTTGTGATAGAGCTTCAGTGCATGCAGTAGCTCGCCATGGACTCCAATCCTCACCAAGGAAGGCTTTTCCTCCAGCCGTAGTACTACGTACATTCTCATTTCCATGGTAAGCAGCTGAGATTCCTGCAGTGATTCAGCAGTCTCCCATGTTGTCGACATGATAGAACCTGTGAGTCCCGTGGTTGTGTTAAGGTGGCACTGAAAGTCTCCCCAGCTCCAGCTTCGTTCAGGCTGGAAAGGTGCAGGGTGGCTGGGCAGCACATATCAGCAGTGATTCACTGTGCTGGGATACTTCAATGTGATACCTTGGTCTTTAGCCATTGTCCCGAAGCCACTACTGTTATCTCAAATGTGCGTTGAGTCGAACAGCATCGGACCTTCACCGCCATTCAGAGTAAGCTGCGCCATTCTTATGCATGACATTAACATACAAGCACGGCGTTGACCCGGACCACGGGCCCTGTGTTGGAGTACCGTTGTTCGAGACGGAATGCATAACTTCCGCTCGTCGACCAAAGACTACGAAACCAATGAATGCCAGCCACATGGCAGGTTCTCAAGGCTCTGCAGAGAGCATCGTAGCCGTCTTGCAATAGCCGGGGACAGCTGCAGGCAGTAAAGAGAGCACCGTCCCTTTGAACAACAGATCGTTGTTACTTCTCATGCATTGACGACGTCTTTCGTCTACATGGCTTACCTCCCCCCCTGTCCAGCCTTCTGCTCTGGGTACACATCAGTCTTGCATACTTCTCCACTGAAAACGATGCAGTGTTCTTGTTTTCACGAAGAGGTGAGGTGAGCATGGTACAGATTCTCGCCTCGGAGAATTTCTACTCCTTGGCTTCTCGGGGAGGCGGGAACCGTATCCGTAAGGAGATATTTGGTACCAGATCCATGGTAATGGAAGTGGAAACAACACATGCGATTCGTGTCCAACGCAGACATCCACTGGCGCGCCATACATCTCAGCGACTCCCGTGACGACCTTGCCCTTTGTTATTACAGAAGTGAAAGACGAGGTGCTTTCTCTCCGGGTGGCGAGAGGGAGAAGCTCGAGTGTCGCCGTCCCACAAACGCTAACCTGCATAAGGCCTGTCCCAATCGAGCGAGGATAGAAGATGCGGAAGGCGGGTACGAGGGAATCGTGGTTAAAGGTGACAGAAAGGGGGATTGCTGTGAATGAAGTGAAGTAGTGGTGCTGATCATGTGATGAGGTCTTGGCGGAAGCTTCGAGAGAGCTTACTAGGGAGCTCTAAACCTAGCAAGGGGACAAATCTTCGCTTCGGAAAGTTGCTCCTAATAAGTTACCGCAGCGGACAGGCCCAGAGGCAGTCACGGTCCGCTAGATAGATCTAAGATACCCTCTTACGATGGAAGGTATTGAGCGGAACGAGGCTGCGGACGTGGCCGCCAACGAAGCCACGGGCGGGAGAGAAGGGCAAGATTACCTCCTACCTCCTAGGGCCACGCTCAAGAGAGATGATGGCCAACAAGAGTTTGACAAGAGATGGCAGATCTCTTGGCGCGAGGAGACCAAGGGCAGGTCCCTTAGGTAACATAACGACTTTCTCTTCGATCGGAACTTCGGAAGGTCCCTACTCCCTGGTATCTCGAACCCTATGTGCTCTTGCGGGGAAGGACGACAGACCGACAGACCATACCATGCGACACGTGTAGGGAATACCTCGGACGATTTCCTGGCCGTATCAATATCCGTGTCATCCTAAACAAGCACAAGCCAGCTACGAGGGCCATCAGATTCATCGAAAGCAGGCGCAGACCCTAGGAGGTATAGGGCAGAGTCCTTTCGTGTCACCTTTCGTGTGTCTCAGCGGCATGAAGAATCGCCTTCTCAGAGCAACGCCGACTTATCCGCGTATGGTCGTTCCTTGTTCATCATACACGAAGCCTGAGGAGCTGGAGCGAATAACGAGTTTTCTAGTAACAAAATTTCTTTTATCAGTGCTCGATGCACAGCCCCGCTGCCCCAGTACTCGATTCACTATACGCCCAACGCTAAGCCTAATACCAAGCATTTGAGACAAGCCCTTGCTTGCACTGCCCGATTGTGTTGGGCAGTACAGGCGCTAGCGGATCATAGGTTGTCTTCACAACACGAGTAGAGCGAAAGCACTCGGCAAGTGTCGTGGTTAGCAACGAGCTCCTCCAACACTCTCGGCTTGCATAGTATGCAGCATGTGCAGAATTGAAGCTGTAGCCAGCGCATCAATGGAGTTGATTATACCCATAGGCGGGACGGCAGTCCGACTGTCTCATAGTGGATGACCTTCAATGAGCTGGAATCCGTCCCTAGAAGCTTTGAACATGGACTGCCTACTAAGGACCCTCCTCGACTACCGTCTGGACAGAAGAGACTGGAATCTGAAGACTGGGATCTGTTTGGACGTAACACGCGACGAACTTCCTTTTCTACGAAGGCTTACTGTAATATAGGATCTATACGGACGTAACGCGCGAGGGATATCCTTCTAGACGAAGGCTTACCGTAATACTGTTGATAGCTAGGTCGGACGGAACACGCGAGGGATAGCCTTCTCGACGAAGGCTTACTATAGCACTGTTTTTTAAGGCTAGGGAGCAGGCTATAATGGTATGCACTAACCGAATATCAAGCACTTGAGTAGATTGTCCTACGAATATAAAATATCGTCTAGTGCCAACTCATATCTAGAAAGTACCAAACCGCACAAAGACAAACATTCTCAAGGTCACTACAAACAGTCCTACCACGTCAACGACGAGCTTCAAGAAATTACAACACCAGTCCTACCACGTCCGACGACGAGCTTCATATTACAACACCAATCCTACGGACAATACATTACTCCGCCCACTCTCAACATGAAGCTATTCGCCTTGATTGCCGCCTTCTCAGCAATCGCTACAGCGATTCCAGCCGCCATGGACGAAAGCGCGCTTTTCGCTCGGGGTAATAGCATTGTATGCACATCAGCGGGCAATGTTCCAACTTACCATGACTGCAACAATTGCTGCGCCAAAAAGGGTTGTCATGAGATCTGTGGCCTTGTAAGAGTTTCTGGCCACGGCTGCGAGCCCGGATGGTCTGAAAACGTGTGCATCTAAAAAGTCTTATTCAAGACAGGATCGGAGGAAAGGGAGGAATAGGAGCGGTGCTACCGGTTACCACGGGTCAAGCGTTTCATTGCATTGGCACCTATGTACCTCTTACGGCCAAATTCTGTCTTTGAAGAGTGTCTTATGTGGCTTTGGGGGTGGCGTGATGAATTGGAGAAAGGGTTTAGGGACAGTCACTCAGGAATTCTTAGTACTGTACCTACCTAACGTCTATTCCCGCGTCCCGGGACACCCCGCCGTGCCGGGACGCAATGTCACGCAATCACTGTTTTCTCGAAATATCTCCTCACGTTTTCTTCAATTTCCACTCTTTTAGAGAAGTCAAAGATTGTTTCTCTAGCTATTTGCGCGCTACCACCGCCTGCTCTTGCGGAAGTGAAGGCGCTAGTAACGAAGGACCACTCGTTCTGGCCTGGTCTCTACCATCTCAAGATGTGCCTGATGCAGGCAATCGAGAACAATTTCCGCTTAGTCTTGATGTGCGTGGCTGTTTTGTTATATCTTTTGTCGACGAGGAATCTGTTTACTCAATCCGTCTGTTGTTATATGGTTTTTGCCATGGTATCGGAACGGAATATCTATTTTCCAGAACGCGTTCGGCTATCTGTATCCCGAATTGCAGCTGGCAGTAGGCAGTGTCGCCGTCCCACAAACGCCAACCTGCCTGAGGCCTGTCCCAATAGAGCGAGTATATAACGTACGGAAGGCGACCTCGAGAGAATCGTAGTCAAAGGTAACAGAAAGGGGGAGTGCAGTGAATGAAGTGAAGTGAAGTGGTGGTAATTGCTCATGTGATGGATGGTGTCTTGGCGGAAGATTCGAGAGAGCTTACCCGGCAGTCGTGACGTCTAACTCTTTGTAAGAGGGCAGTGGCACAATCCTCCCCTCCTAAGGTACTGCTCGCTCTCATCTCTTCTACCATCGACAACGACAACAACAACGTCGCCAACACATCTTGGCCATCATGGCGTCCTTCATCGCAAGGCGACCCTTCGCCCTCGCCTCCGCTCTCACCAAAGAGATGCCCTCGACCGCCCGACTCGCCCTGCGATCCTTCCAAACCACGACCAAGCAGCCACAACTTCACCAACCCATCACGCGAATCAGCTCTGCATCGACAGCCAAGCAGTTCACGCCACTCCAACAGAGCGTCATTCGCTCCGCCTTCCAATCCTCTTCTCGCCGCGCCTACCAGACTTCCGCGCCCGCCAATCCTATCGCACAAGGCAACCTGACCCAACGCCTCGTCTATGGCGGCGCCATCTTCGGTGGTACACTCCTTGCAATCAACCTGGTCTTCAACCGCGAGACTCGTGAAGATGGCGGCATGCCTCCCTACGAACGCGCCTATCTCAATGAGACGTTTCTGCACACTGGACTGGGCATCGGCATCATTGGTGTGGCCGCACGCGCATTGCATATGAATGGCTGGTCTTATCGTCTCATGTCCGCAAATCCATGGCTTGTACTCGGAGTGGGCCTGGTGGGCTCCATCGGAACCATGATGGGATGCTACGCAACCTCCCCAGACAACTATGTCGTCAAGTACGCTCTGTGGGGAGGTTTCAACCTCACGCAAGCTGCCCTCCTCTCGCCGATGCTCTTTTTCGCCCCTGGTATCCTAGCTCGCGCCGGCCTCTATACCGTTGGAATGATGGGTTCCATTGCCTTTGTCGGCGCCACGGCGAAGCAAGAGAAGTACCTGTATATCGGTGGTCCCCTCCTTGCTGGCGTAGCGATTGTGGCACTTTCTGGCTTGGCGCCTCTGGTGCTGCCCGCTACTGCCACGAGAGCGCTGATGTGGACTGAGAACCTGTGGTTGTATGGAGGACTTGCAGTGTTTGGCGGGTTCACGCTTTACGACACGCAAAAGATTCTGGCGCATGCGAGAATGGCGGAGCAGGGAAGATTCCGGAAGGATGCTGTCAACGAATCCATTGCGTTGGAGCTTGATTTCATCAACATTTTCGTGAGGATGGTACAGATACTGGCCATGCAGCAGGGAAGGAGAAAGTAGAAGAGAAGAGGAACAGAATGTGATATTAGCGGCATGGATATGAAGTGGCGTTTGGGAACCCTCTGTTACGAAGAAAAATATCTGGCCTGAAGACGGCCATTGTACTTTCCCTGTGTAGTATTGACCCGCCATTTAGGATGTGTATGCCAACGCAGTACTCAACTCATGGCGATGCTCTTGTCGACATGCTGCGCTAGCCAGTATTCCTCTCGACTAATGGACGCAGCATGGCTTGCATGTTGTGCTACGCAGATAATCCCCACACCCTTTGGATACACAATATCATGCAAGAAAGTGGAAGACTAATGGGTGTCTGCATAGGTCTCAGGACTGCCCAGACTCCGCGCGCAGCTTCCGGCTGTTGGGGATGTATGAAGAATGGCAAGCTAATGGAAGACCGCATGGGTCTCAGATGACCAGCCATGATTTCTCATATGGGCTGCAGCATGTCGTGGCTAACAGATTTTGGGTTGATTCAAGCCAAGGGCCAGTCGTGGGCAAGGCGCCTAACGTCTTCATCCAACGGCCTCTGCTGGCTGTGTGTATGGTATGGCAAGCTAATGGATGTCTGCATAGGTCTCAGAGCGTTCCAAATAGTATTTGAGCGCTTGTGTGTGAGTGTGTGTGTGAGTACCTGTAGGTGAATATCGGTGAGCAGGGAAAGTAAGGAAGTGAGACTAGGTAGAGGTCCGAATCATGGTTATTATTAAGGTACCACAGTGGTACCTTAAACTTGTGACGATTCTTACCGCCATGGGAGGTACGATGTATATTCTTACTCCAGAAAGCAAAAGCCCTTCCGATGTGGTCTGGTAATTGGTACGGAGTATAACATCTATCTGTAGAAATGGAAACTCGAAATTGGTGCCTGCAGTATTGCGAGTTCGTAGCCTACCATATAGCTACACCAATCCATTCTCTTGTGCCCCCCCCCCCCCCCCCCCCCAATATGTCTCTAGAAGAAGAAGAAGAAGAAATAAGCTCTAGAGAGCGAAACGCATCATTCTCTACTATCCCACGGGTTCAAGCGTTCCAAAAAAAAAAGAGTACCACACTTGGAATAAAAAAATATAAAAAAAGATAAAAAGCCCTTTTTTTTTTCGAGGTTTGTAGTTCGTGGTCCCAACCGGAAAATATCGCCGAAAGCTCCGCGACTCGAATGGTTTGCATAAGGTATTCTCTGGTTGACTAGCGGCACAAATAATGCCACATGATGATTTGATGACAAAACAAAAAAAACAAAAAAACAGGTACGGGACTACCTACCTACCAAGAACCGACAGGACGGATGGACAGAACGGCATGTCTCGATTGTTTTTTTGCCTTTTTTTCTTTTAATCTCCTACTGCATGCGAGCGAGACGTTTGCAGGCTAAACTAAAATATATACGGCTGAGAAGATTGATGGGGTTTGCGAGCGCTGGTTAAAGGTCGAGGGGTTTTGGTACTCTAATGGATGTATGCAGACGGTTTCAGATTTACTGTGTGGACGTTGATTGTGCGGGCTTGGAATTTATGGGATCATGGATGATGGTGCAGGAGGAGGAGGAGGAGGAGAAGGAGGAGGCAAGGACTGGCTACCAGACTAGTGATGTGGTCTATCTGGTATCATAAGCAGCGGGATGTTCAAAGGGCAATGATCATGTTTTGTCCTACCACGCTGGAGAATACCAGGTTGATTACATGTATTCAGAGCCCTACCAAGGCTAGGTGTTCGCTATACATTCCAAAAGTAGATACAAATGATTCGGTATAATCTAGAAGGTAGGCAAAACCATTCAGCACCTTCAATCCGAAGATCAATATACTGGAAAGCTAAGGGTTGGACGCAGACAAGGCTCACTTTCGAAAGCCGCAAAATGAGAATAAACATCATCAAACAGCGGTTAGTATAGCCTTGCATATCTGCACATGTCAGGGTTCCTCGTACATGTGGTCGTCAAATCAGTGTGTCCTGGTAGTAACGCCGCAAGAGAATATTTTTCACTGGTTACTTCTTCAGTTGGACTACTCGAGGACTGCATCATGCACGATATACGGTACGATATCGATTCGGGCGATGGGTGATGCTAGCGGAGATTCTTTTTTTTCCTCCCTCAAATCATCTTGAATACCGTACCTTAGGCACAGGTATTTTGAACAGAGCAAACGTACCTATATAGCGCTTGTTTTTGAGGCAAGTTGTTACGGCCGAGACCATTTCGATGTGCTAGGATACAAGCCCCTGAGAACTGGTGAGTGCTAGAAGGATTCTAGGAGACTCGAGATTTCCGTTTGCAACTTTCTATGGTGCTCTACTGGGTGTCTGCAGAATGTCTCAATAGTAGCCGGGACTATAACTATTACTTTCCAAGATGTGTTAGCCACTCTACTTCTATTACTACTAATTAGTCGATAACCTCCCTTGTCTAGGCATACGTTCGGTATGCACGAAATGCTTGATTGGGTGAATGTATAGCCTTCTTGTTGGTTGGTCCTCTACTGGGTGTCTGCAGAATGTCTCAACGGCAGCCGGGACTATGACTGCTACCTCCCAAGCCATATTGGCTACACTACTTCACCTAACTAGTCAGTCTTCAACCTTCTCTGTCCAGCAGATTTGCCTGCGGTATCTGCAGAGAGCTTGATGAGCCATATGGAAAGGCCTTCTTTTGTGGTCCTCTACCGGGTGTCTGCAGAAGGTCTCACACATCAACAGCAAACTTCACCAGCCATGTTATGTTAGCCACACTCCACTTCATCTTCTGCTATGTAGTCCTCTTAGCATCCCCTGTCCCATACCTACCTACAGTACCTGCCTACGTGATCCGCAGAAAGCTTTCTATGGTCCTCTACCGGGTGTCCGCAGAAGGTCTCATATCAAAGTCCCGCTAGTAGCATACCTACTCAGGGTACTACAAACCTGTCTCTCCAGTATTCATCAGTCATACACATGATCATCGCCACAGCCGGTCCTTCATTTTAAGTAATCTTGAAGGAAAGAGGGTCGACTTCCTCTTTGACTGGTTCAGAATCATCGGTTGACTAGGTAATGTCTGCATACCGAATAAAAAATATGGTACAGCCAGCGGGATCAAACGTACCATGTGTACCTTACCTTCAGGGACTTAGTCGACGGGATGGATAGGAAGAGCCTATTTCTGCCATTACAGACACACACACACACACACCGCATAGTTTGAAAAAGGGCAATTTTGGCGATTCGTGTCCACGAGACTTGTAGTCGGCGTTTTCGTTCTGGTGGTAATAGTGGCTGAGACATTTGCAAATTTTGGGTGTGCTGTGTGTGTGATGGTGTGATTTTCGTCCATTCATTCCATTTCATTTCCCTTCCCTCATCCCTCCCTCCCTCCCTCCCTCCATCCTTCCCCCACTCACACCCAGTCATCTTTTCCTCTGCTGAACTTTCTTTCCCGGACTTCTGGATGTGGCATCTTGTTTTGCCATTTAGCGTTGTCCCACTTGGGATTGCCGAGTCAAGAATAATGGGGGGTGAGGGCGGTTCGAATTCATGGTTTGTCTTTCCCTCTTTCTCACACACACACACACAAGTCACACATGTCGATGAAACATGTGTTATTGTTGTCGTCATCCTCATGTGGGCATGTTATCTCCTTGAGGAAGCTTCAATAACTCTTCCTCTCTCCCTTGAACACTTCATCCTCCTCGTCAGTATCAGCGCGCACTGAAACAACAACATATAGCCATATTGAAGCAGTCCCAGCCGAGATGTGCTGCGCGTACTTCTATAACATCAAAAGAGATATTAGCTGCTTCACCAGTACAGCAAATGTCTCACTTCAGAGAAGACCCCGCGGGCGGGCAGGCTGCGAATTCTCCGACGGCCGAGATCTTTCTTTGGGGGTCGAGTCGAGCACACAAACAAAAGTGTGGTACATGTCTCAATCTCCGAGACAGATCATCGTCATGATTTTTTTGGATTAACTGATTTTGCGACTCTTGGTGATTTCAATTGTTTTTGCCAATCACCAACAAGCCGCCGCTTGTTTTATGAGCAAAAATTGAAATCAGACGCACTCACAGCACAACATCATTATTGTATGGTCGTCTAGTGGGTGTCTGCAGAAATGTTTCTGCTTGACCCGCGAAACAGAAAAAGGAATTATTCAAGGACGACTAACCACCTCCTATCTACGAGCGGAAAAGCTATCATCCTCGATTCTACCACGTGCGAGTCAATAAATCTTCTCATACTTAGCCACTGCTGGAGAGTTGATTCTGGTCGTCTAATGGCAGGCTGCAGAATGTTTCAGGCACGTGAAAAAGGCGCTTTTGCTAGAAGGAGGCACCTCCGTAGTCATGGGGCATCTTTTGCCAGCGCGTATGTGGGCTGTATTTGGTAAGCCAAGGGGTACCTTCTAAGGTGGGTACCTGGTAGTGTTCAAAGGGACGCCAAGAGAGCGGTGATGTAGTTCCATCCCATGGAAGCTAACTTAAGGTACATGTACATGTAAGGTATACACCTTCCGTCACTCCGGCCTTCACTTCCATCACACCCCAACAAACAATACGTTGCGTAGTTAAGCAAGACAATTCTGAGATATGTGTGGTGTGCTGTCCCAGCTTCTCTCCCTCGAGTCTCTGTCTCTGGAATTGACCACTTTCGAATGGATTACTAGCGGCCGCCTACCATATGCATGGCCCCCACTGAGCGTCTCTCAGCCACCCACCACGCTTGTTTCACCTATTCCTGCCCCGGTCCCCGAACACATGGAAAAGACGACCGCCACGTCGGCAACGTGACGGCAACGAAACTCAGATCTCCCACTCTGCGAATACTACTCTTCGTCTAAGACGCGGGCATCAGCGGGTGACTGCATTTTGTCTCACGGTCACGTCGAAAGGGGGTCGTTGACATCGCATATAGCGACTGATTGCAGTGGAGCGTGCAAACTCTTTTTGACGCGGCTTGCGTCTCCAACCCGTACTGTCAATATTACACCAGCACTCATGGCGTTTCTGGCATGGGCTGAGTATGATGCAGTGCTTATCCAGACAAACACTGACAAGTCTGGTGTGTATGCTGTCTCGCGAGTACGGTATAGCAGCAGATCCCCAGCTCCGTATACTCAGAAGCTGGATGTTATTACGATGCATCGAGATCAGCTCTCTCCATCGCAGTAATGCCCCCTGCGGTGGACAGCTCACCTTGCGAGCTTCATTCGTGGTCCATCGATGCCGTTCAGCACTTCAGACTTGAAATCCAATAGCTGGCAAAGCTTGCTCTCCTTGAGGCTCTTATACAGTTCACGCTCCGTATTGAATGCCGTGCCACCTAGAGTGCTAGCTCTAGTTCGCTCTGAGCATCGGGCATTGAGTAGTTGAGCTCCAGCGGGTACTACTGGCTGTTTGCATTCTGACCATCTGCCGGTAGCCTAAGCAGTGAGTGCCGATATGCTACATGCCACGAGTCTTGAGCGAAAAGAGTCATGTACAGCAACTTGCCCTCAGGTAGTGGCTACCCTAAAGATTCGCGTTGCTCAAACGGTGGTGTCTCAGACCGTGGAAAGACTCTCGAAGGAGTCGTGTGCGTGTGTGTGCCATAACGGTCGAAAAGGGTCTTCTTGGGAATTAAGGTGAATGGCCTGCCGTAGCTGGAAGCTGTGCGGGCATTAGCGGCTGTATGCAGAAATGCTTGGTATTTTCAGCCCGAATAGGAAAACCCGTGAAATGCTATGCCACTCCAGTACTGTGGCATTGGAAGCATTGCACTGCAACTGGCAAAGCTTGCATGCTATCCTTAGCTGCAATTTGCGGACTCGAACTTTCAGCTATGATGTTCTATAGTGGCGCGTTCTTGTGTGGACTGTTAAAATGCTCCCTCGATGCTTTCTCACGCTCGAAAAGGCGGCATGAAGTCAGCTCTCATCGCACCGCGTTGTAGTATTGCAAAGCTGATCAGAATAGCCTACAGCTTTTGAAGAGAGCACAACACAGGTTGATGACCGGTGATAGGCAAGGGGCGAATGAAACTGCTCAGTAGCTCGGATTTGCGCGTAAGCTCAAGTCCCGTCGCTCGTTGTCCATTGCTGGCGGTACTCCTTGATTGATGTTCAGCGCAGCATTCAACCATGGTTCTGCAGTCGAGGACAACAAGCGTCTGGGTAGTAGACCATTTGCTGAGAACAAGGAGCAAATGCGCGGACACCAACGGGTGTCTGCTTCTTGTTCATATATCGGTAATCTAATGCACAGCATGACATGGGTGACCAGGTGATCAACATACCTCCTACGTCCCGAGTGCCAATAAAGCGGTGCAGTATAGATAATCGAGAACACAAGGCACTCCCAGTCTCTCACCGCCTGAAGATGATACGGCGCGTGGGCGCCTGGTAGTGTAGAGGAAAGCGACGTCTTGCCGGAGGTCTACCAACGGTCCGAACAGCCAAATGAGGAAGGTGTCGCGCTGAAGGCGTGCCTGAGGTCGGCACAAGGATGCGGAAATTGCTGTCTTTGGCGTTCAGAGACCATTCTTTCGCTCGAGCATCGCGGACACCAGTGGCAGGATGCATTTCAGTCAAGTTCCGGTAGGCTAACGTGGCACGGTATGCTCAGCAGAGCGGCAGGTTATGGTGTAGTTCCATTGCTCGGAGGATCATCCGACGCTGTAACCAGAGTCATGACGCCGACGAAGCAACGATGTACCGCTCGGCGTGTCTTCAATCTCGGTAGCGATGGACGCCTACATGTAGCTTCAGTTCGAAGGTTGGGGTTGGCGAAGACGCTGCGACAGGGTTTGTCATCGGAGAACACCTGAAGATTCCGTCCCAGATGCGCGGTCGAGAGCGGGCGGCGCTGGAGCTGGCGACATGCCGTTCGACGTCGGCGAAGGAGAGCGGATCGGCCAGGGAGGCATAGGCACAGCTCGTGGGGGCGGTGGGAGGGAGAGCGGGATAGAAGGCGGCGATGATCAGTTGTGGGCCATGCAGATGGGGGCGAATGCGAACCACGGTTGACGGGCTTGCAGCAGGCCAGGGCCGCCAGGCGCAGAGTGGACGAGACACGAAAAAGCAGTGTGTGTGGTGGAGAGACAAGTCTTGCTCGGCATCGGCGTCATCGCGGAATGCGGCGCCGACTTTGCCGAACCGGACGCCTCGCTGTCCACACCACTACCGCCACCCTCACACCACGACGACTCCTTCGAAGCCCCAGGAAATGCCGGGGCCGTGTACGCGATGCGATGCCTGCAAGCGGTACCCCGTTCTCCATGGCGCTCTTTGCAGCCGCCAAGACCATGTCTGGCGATCTCGGGCCATTCGCCCACGCTCTCGACTCCGCCCAGCGACGTCGTTCGGTCACCAGGCGGTCCCCTGTGTCGGACATACCACATCTCGGTTGATCCTCACCGCTGGATCGTGTCAGCCACGCTCTGCATGTGCATCGATTTGCAGCGCGCCGTCGCGAAGAGCGCCAGGTCACAGGTCCCGGGGCCGTCACCAGCGCCCCCAATGTTGCGGAGGGCAACTGAAGTCACATTTGAGTGCGAGGCGTTGCAGACGCCCCTGCTCATCTTGCCATTCCCGCTACGGCAACGACGGTCATTTGTTACCTTCCTTGCTCAAAATGCAGTCTCCCATAAGCGTTGTGGTATAGGTCTGCGAATGGGAGGCTGCTACGAGTCAACACCGCTGTTCTGTCCCCCCGTGCTGGTGCGAATGCTTGCGCTTGAAGCGCATGGCATATATGCTGGCCCAAGCATACACTTCTGCTTCGGTACCAAAAAGCTGACATTATGCGGCCACCCGTAAGTGTGCCGCGAGATGTAGCGACTCTGAAGCAGCACCAGCAACGACAGCGCCTGCGTCCGAATCTGTGTGGCAGTCCACAGTGATCGGTAGCCACAGGTCAAATATGCCTGACCAAGCAAGATTGGATTGATGCCTTGAGATCTGCATGACTGCGAATTCGACCAAAAACCTTGGCAATGATCACGGAAATACGCATGTCATGTGCTGGGGGACTGCAACGGTGCTCACTCGACCTATGTTGTGGCCACTATAGGGACCAGCCCTCCTGGGCTTGCATGCTGGCAGAAAGAACTTCGTGCCACCAAGTGACCTTGATCAGGACTTAGCTCCACCTGGATCGCGCCTGGGGGGAACGTCTACTCATGCGCTAGAGCTATAACATCCCCGGCCAACATATTACTACTGGTTTCCGAGGAACACGAAGCTGATCTCACTATCTCACAGTGACCAAGCACCTTTCAGACTATGCAGTAAGTCAGCATAAAGGGCCCCAGAAGTACTCTCTGTCTGCGGGCGGCTGGGACACCACCCAGGGCTTTCTGCATGCTTTAGAGTTTGACCTCTCACTTGCGCATGTCCCTGCTTCTTCACAGTCTTGCAGCACACATATATCCTATACTGGTGATGCAGATTCCACAAGCACGCAGATGTTACCGCGGTATTTGCAGCAGACCTCTAGCTTTATATCGTTCTGCCTCGACGACAGCTAGGCACGCTACGGCACGGAGCATCTGCCACACCACGTAAATAACAGTAGCTTGAAGCGCGGGCAGGATCATGCATCAAGCTCGCCCGTTCCCTGCCTTTTCCTATGTTACCATAGTACTCTTCGGATGTTCTCAGCTTCAGAGTAGCTGAGCGTTGTAAGGTCATATCTATGGTTTCGCTCACAGTCAGATAGAATCGAGAGATTTGCAACGTTGTAGTCCGTAGGTACGACCACAATGCCGCTCAATTGCAAAGAAGAAGTGTAGCTGCTCTCCCGAAGTTTCACTTCGGCAATCAATTGCAATTTCACCGACCCGACCCCACTTTCAGGACAGGTAATTCTCGGCAAGAATCTCAACGACAACAAGACAAACCCATATCAACGCGGAACAGCACAACACAAATAGCGACCAGCCTCACCCGCAATTGAACAACAGCCATCATGATTTCCGGACTTGCACACGTCAATCTGCTTGTACCTGTCGGCACGCTGGAGATCGCAGAAAAGTTCTATAGTGGGACGCTTGGCCTCATACCCAGAGCTGTCCCCGAGCTGCAGAAAGGAACTTTAGCTTGGTAAGAATGCCTGGAAGCGAGAAGAAAAGATCATTTTTTACAAAACTTCTTGCTGACATGAAAAACCAGGTTCGACATTGGCTCTTCTGGGCAGCAGGTCCACGTAGCGCTCGATAAGAACAACTCCAATGCTACAAAGTCCTCCCGACATCCATGCTTCAAGATTGAATCGCCAGAAGCTCTGCTGCAACTCCGGCAGCGAATTTGGGAGCACTTTGAAAGAGGGGATGAGGCTGCGCCACAAGAAGCAGATAAACCAGGAGAAGCCGACTCAGGTGCCAAAGGTGCTGAGTACCCATCGCGCTTCTTTGCGCGTGACTTTGCCGGGAACAGACTGGAGTTCTCTCTATGAATCATAATTTTGTCTCTTCCGTCAAATTTCACATTCCAACCGCCTCAATATTCTTGTCCACTGATCCAGCAGTACTTCCCGAAGCTTCCATGAAGTTGATGACCTGTTGGTTGTCGAGATATTCTCGCAAAAGTAGAATTCGTTTCTGTCGCGAGTCGATCGTAAAGGCCATGACCACGGAATTGGTATAAGATTTGCCATCTTGGTTCGAGGAGACGACTTCAAGCTCCGCCATGACTTGCACACCTTCCGCAATGATGTTAAACGCCTTCATGGAGTATTGGCTAAACTGGCCCAGCATTTGCATGGAAAGGGGAATCCGTTCGTGAGCCCTTAAATAACCCCCCCAAGACACATTCCGCTCTCCCATCACCCACCACCCAGCAGTGTCGGTAAACATGGAAGGCAAAACATCGAAATTGCGGCTGTCCAGAGCATCGATGAAGTTTTGAGCAACAGCCTTGCTCAGTCGTGACGTGTTGTCCATAGCGTAGAAGAGAGTACAGTGCCAGTACCTGTAAGGTTCCAAAATTCAAATGTGTCCAGTCGTTAGGTTGGTGACGAAAGTCAGGGCAAGAGTGAATCGAAGATTCCCTGTCCTTTATTGTTCGATGCTTGGCTATGCAACTTCCAAGACATTTCCTCTGGGCATCCTCTTAGCCACGATACACCGGTCTCGACACCCGACAAGACATGGCTGACCGCAAAGGCGCATATGGCGCGTCGAATGGCGCCAGCGACACGTCTTTCCGTCGGACATGGGATCGCAGCGAGTACGAAGCGAAAGCGCGCGATCGCGACGCCAAGATCAAAGAGGAAGGCAAGGCGCGATATGAAGCTGCTCTAGAAGGCAAGAAATATCATCGTCGTGCTTCGACGCCGACCGATCACAAGGACACCGAGGCGCGGCAGCAGCGTCTGAATGTGGCCGAGCAGGTCGGTAAGACCACCCTCGTTGCTGCTGGAGCAGGACAAGGCAAGCGAGGCAAAAGCGCTGGTTTCTACTGCGATGCTTGCGACCTGACGTTCAAGGACAATCTGCAATGGGTGGAGCATTTGAACAGCAAGCAGCATCTCATCGCAACAGGTGAGAGCGGAGAAGTGAGGAGAGCGACACTAGAGGAAGTGGAGGAGAGGTTCGACTATCTGAAGCGGAAGCTCGAGGCGGAGAAGGTGCATGACCAGACTGATCTGCAGACCAGGATCAAGACAACGGAGGAGCAGTTGGAGAAAGAAAGGGAGGAGAAGAGGCGTAAAAGGAATGAGAAACGGCGCAAGACGAAGGACGGCAAAGGCCATGAGGAGCTTCGGGTCGAGAATGATGGCATTATCTGCTGAAGGATATCTCTCCGCTACGCTGTGCGTGTGAGAACGCGCACGTGAAGACTATGCTGCTGGTGTTGCCGCAAGCCATTTAGGGGTTTTCGCCCGGACAGAGGGCATGTGTCCCAGTGGCGCCTTCTTGATATGGCTTGAGGTCTCTGTCGAAGCGCACGAGACTACATGGGACCTGGATGAAACTCATGTGCGACGGAAGAGACTGCGACTCGATGTTCTAACCACTCCTTGCCTCCGGAGAGTCTGCAACAGCTCGATTCTGAATCAAAGTGGTCTGTGGCAGTGCCCAGTGACCTGCCCGCGATGCTTGCCACTACTGGAATCGCACAAGTGCTTCATTTGGATCCAAATATGCCTACAACAACATCTGCCTGTAAAGATTTCTCGAGCTTTACCAGACTGAACCACTCTCCTTGTTGCGCGCTACTGCTCCCGAAGACAAGGAGCTGTGCTGATCATGGTAAACTCGCTTCCGTCAGCATTTTTGGGTACAATAGCAGGTTGTCTGACCTGAAGCGTCAGGCACTGGTGGTGCTGGTAGCGTATTGGGATGAGTGGACTCGAATTGATTGTGAAACTGATCCGCTGCCGGCTCAGCCTCAATGGAACGTGGACAGACTGTCCGGGCCACTGAGGTGCTAGCCATATATCGCAGACAGCACTTGCAAATATGCATGGTCACTGCTGAGGAGGGATCGACCAACACCAAGTTACAACACGGCCACGGCTACCAGGTATTCCGTGACACATCATGCCAAGATCGGAGGTAGCTTGGCAACTCAAGTCATCGATGACTCTGTCAAGGCATGAGCTGGACCAGCACTTGCAATTTTTCCAGTTGCTACATACCTGTAGCGTAAGAGATGTTGTCACGATGCCTCCCTCAGGAACTAGCAGAACCCTCCAGCTCATACTGGCCATTATGACTTATTTGCCCTGCGCTCACTCTAAGCGCAACCGCTACGCACCTCGAATAGCATGGCTTGGCACTTTCGAGTATTGTACCTACATGTAGATGGTAGCTTCACGAGATGTGAGCACTTCGTTGATCAGCTGCAGTCTCCACATATCCGGCTCCTCCTTGACCACATACCCATATATACAATATTCTGGTTTCTACGGCAGCACTCGGATATATCAATAGAGGTCCCGCGAATGGCTGGGCAGGCGTGAGGGGTAAGCTTCACATCAGCTGTTCTTGTTCCATGGGTGCCGTTCATTGCGACATTATTGGATATGAACACTTGGCGCAACCGTTGCAGATAATGCGAATATGTATCGCGAGAGATCCAGCCGAGCTCTCTGCCCTTCTGTCGTCCGTACTCCCAACTTACTGGCAAGATCACCACCACGACGAAAACACGTCTTGTGCTATATGCGTACACGATGGCATCCACAACTCCAAGTCCGTTCTTAAGCCTTCCTCAGGAGCTTCGAGACATCATTTATCAACATGCGTTGCGTGACTCTCTGCGCAGGTATGATGACCTCGGAGAATACAAAGCGAACGAAATTCCAATGCCAGCAAAGCAAGAGCATGACAACAACATCGCCGATGGAGGCCTCCTCTTCAACTACACAGCTCAATGCCCTCGACCAGTATGGTACACCTTACTGCTCTGCTGCCGAACGACGAACAGAGATATTCGAGAACTCGCGCAAACTACCGCACTCAACCAGATGATTGATATCAAACCCGCTGTCGTCGATCTCAACTTGTCTCCCACCACATCTACAGCAACATGGCAACACCTTCCCTCGCATCCTCAACAGATTACCAGCTTGCAAATCAACATCCGACTATCGCACATTTACGAGTCGTCATTGACATCCGCCTCCCCAGACACGGACAATGCAATCATTCGGGCCATATTCCATCTGGTGCGGCAATACTGTTGCTTCGGCCCCCACCTGTCCCGCGGAAAGCCTCTATCTAGACCATTACAGTTGGAGACGGTACTTCTTGAGATAGAACCGGATCTCCGCGCCATACAGCCGCCACAAGGTCTAGTCTTCGCCAACAATCATCCGCAGCAGCTCGCCACCGTCTCTGGCGTCTTCTGGATCTGGCTGAGCCGGTTTGCGAGAAGTGGATTGCTGTGGGAACGCGTGGAGAACTTAAAATGGAATTGCAAATACATTGCTGAGACGGAAGGAGAAGTAGTGACTTCTCGTGTTACCAATCATGGTTGGAGCGAGGATGATCGTACAATGTTTCGAGAGCTGGGCTATAGCTGGGATTGAAGATGATCACCTACGAATGTGGGCCTCAAGAGGTCTTCATCAGAGTCCCCCGCCCTCTGCCGTAGGAGTAGGCAAAGGAAATTTTGATGGCGATGGTGCCGCTGAGGTTTATGCTTCTCCGGATCCCCCTGTTTGCCTGGGGAAAACTCTGTAGATGGAGTGTATGCAGATTCATTCCTTGATGAATTGGCTTTCCAGGCAGGCTCTGGAGTATATCATCTGGTCAACAGCACATCTCCCATTGCTGAACTCTTATGTTTTTTCGCCTTCGATTTCATCATCGTCACGAAGTCGTCGGTGGTTAGCAAAACGACTAGGAAGCAGCATAATATATACGAAAAAGTCCTTGGCTAAAGACGGCAAAATGTTAAATGACAAGAAACTCGATGCCACTTTACCCGGGGTTTTCGTTATGAGAATCTGAATAAATTATCGCAGCATCCAAAAGTTTCAATGACATCGCGCTTCCTCCTGGTAATGTCGGCTCGACTGGACGCAGACTGCGGACCTTGCAATGCCTGTTCCTGCGACTGGGAGGCATCGACTCTGAACTCGAGCTCATCGTCATGCTGAGTAGTAGCTTCTTCCCTCGAAGATTGAAGAGTCCGCTCCATTTCGTCCGAGTCAATCTGCGCATTCAGGTCACCGTCTACTTCCAGGTCAATGCCTGCCAATAGATCAATGTCTGCTTCATCTTGACCTTCAAGGAGTTGGTCAATGCCACCTTCTCTAATTTCTCATTCATATCCTGATCTCCACCGACTTTGAGCGGCATCGCAGGCAGCGAACAGATCGTCATAGCCCGTTCTGCTAACTCACGCAAGTCCTCGTTGACTGTTATCTCTCCAATTGCAGCCTCATGAATAGGTGCGGCATACACAGAATCCTCCAGCCGCGAATCTCGGGGCCGAGCGTTTCGCTCACGGTGGAAACGCTCTTTTTCAGCCAATGCCAGAGGGTACAGACGAAATGTAGTCGTTTCTTGTGACCATTTGTCGCGATGCTCGCTCTCGTCGCCTGTTGCCGAGCAATCATTTTCACTTCCTGATCCCTCTGCCTCGGCTGGTTTCCTTGCTGCCCAGTCCTGCGCCCGCAGCGTCCAGCTTGCGCTCGCTCGGTCTTTTCTCTTTTTCGGCGAAAGCTTTTTTACGGCTATCGTACGTTGGTTTGGCAGGCTTGCACTGCCTGCTGAGTTTCATTGTTTTACACGCTGTCATGTATTTGTATGCGGCATAATAGTCTGTGAAAGATCGCTCAATCTTCTCGGGGCTTTGCTTCTGTTGGACTGTCGCTGTGGCTCTCGCTACGACCTACAGCATTTTCCGGCATAGCGACACCTCCACCACCTTTGCTCCCAGCAGTGGCAGGTGCGCCCGGAGGAGCATGTGGACTAGTTGTACTTGCCTCCAAAGACCGCTGTCCTCCTGCATTCTGGATCTGCGCCTGCACCTGGGGCATTGTATGCATATTCGCAACCGGAACGCCCGCTGAGTTGAGTTGCAGCGGCACACCTTCCATCTGCCTCGCCTCCATCTCCGCAAGCTGATAATATCGTCCAATCTGCTCATTCGACCACCCCTTAGCAGTCGCCGCAGCGGCAATCTGCTCCCGTTGTGCCAACATGGCTCTCATGTGTTCGACTGTGGCCGCTAGCACAATAGCCTCTGAGCGGGCTTGCCCTTGCATGCCTGGCACGAGGGTGGAGAGCCTGTCGAAGCCTTGACGAATTGCTTCGCGCCGCTTCTTCTCCGATTCGATATGGTTCTTCTTCTTCTGCTCTTCGGTCAAGCGGGCTTTTGCTGCGTTGGCGGAACTAAGGGGACTCGAGGGAGTGGGACCGCTATCGGAGGCATTCATGGTGACGGCAGTATTCATGGCGGAAGTATGCTTGTAGTGAGGTGACCACGGGTATGTACCACGGATATGTTACGTGCTGTCGAAATATCTGATACGGTCGTCGCCGAGTGCCTGCATGTCGGTGGAGTTGAATAATATGCGGTATAGGATGTGGAAAGCGCTGCGAGAGGGCGCAATGGAGAGGCTGGCGTCGTGAACGCGCATGTGACAGAATCACATGTGATGCCAAGAAGTCATGATTGAGCTGGTCACTCGTGATTGGCTATTGAAGCGAAGGTGGATCACTCATCCTTGAACCGCAATAGAAACTCTTTTCACGGCATCACCCAGAACCTCACCTTGGAGAGCTCTCGTAGCAGCACTTACAAGTCGCCAGAACACCCACGACTGTACTGTGATGACTTTGGCTAGGGCAATAGGTCTGCTCGTGCAAGAAGTTTACAGCGGGTCTGCTCACGACACTCACAACGCCGGTGGCGTGAAAGCGCATTGGATAGGGGATGGGAATCACGACTGTGTGAGGTGATCACGCCTATCGTGTCTTTCCTATTGATTTTTGACGCCCAAGCAGTCAAGAGTCCCTATAGTGATAGAAGAAGGAAGACCCGGAAAGCGAGAATCGACGAGCATGTCCCACAAAGTGTGGCGTGAGGCCTGCCCATCACTCTTCGAAGCGTCAATTATGGCAGCGATCATCCAAACGATTCCTCCCTCTCCGTACTTGGTCGATATGCATGCCACAAGCGAAAGGTAGTCGCTTCTGGCGAACGTGTTGTGGACTTGTTGCTTGCATCGGGGGAAGTCCCAAATGTCTGATATTCGCGAGAAACATTGCTTAGACGACAAGTCGCAGATACATACCTGTATCTACGTTCATCAGAAGTCCTCTAAATTCGAGACATCCTACGACCCAAAATCACGAGACAATTCGAACTAGAGAGCTCCGGCGTCTGAGTGTGTCTCGCAGTTAAAGACATTCCCTATCGCCAGATTAGGCCGCGAGTTATTACCAAGTTTGGTGCTGGATACGTTGAGCAGACATGGGACCGCACAGTCGTTGAAGCAGCGGTTTTTCATAGATGGAGGCGCGTCAATGCAATGGTAATGTAAGACCGAGGTGTTGTCAACGTGATGAGCGTGGTAGATAGGTAGAGTCAAGTCTCAAGAGGGTCTGTGTGAAGACGCGCTAAGAACCTGTATATTTAGACTGTGAAATCGCGTGATGTCACTAGCGCCCGCCGCAGAACGTGTGCCACTCGTGTGGCGCCAAGTGTGTTTAGGCGGAACTAGGTCGTTGTACGTTGTTTCAAGCAATCTGCCGTCGTTTTGTTGTCCACACATCCTGCTGCCATACCATATTCTATACCACACCGAACCGTCTTCGCATCTCGAGCGCACATATTTTGAGCATCACCGGGAAAAAGCAGGGAAAGAGCTTGCATACGAAGCCGGTCGGGAGGTGCAACAATAATCATCGGCTGAAGGAGAGGGCAACCAGCGGGCGGGACCAGGTTATCGCTGCCAGCCTGCCACTGCATCCATGTTGCTGCCATAGTTCTACGGCCACTACAACACGTGGGCAGCAACAGCATACCAGGCTTCAGAGGGACACCTCAGCCCAAGGTATAGACGAGATAGAGTCGATCCCTTGACCAAGGAACTCAGATAGCAAGGAGACGGGAGAACATGGAACGACGGTCCATACACTCGTCGACCAACAGTCGGCGCACCAATTCACATGCCGCCACGAGAGAGACTCTGCGCCGCAACATGAGCGGCAGCCATGCCAAACGCGTCGCCCACGTCTCCGAACACGATGTCTACCTCTACGCTCTGCGCGCCGCCTACCTGGCATATCTGTTGCAACCGCGACAGAAACGAGTGCAGCATGTTGCCAATACGTCCAAGCCCATCCAGCGGAGCTCGACGTCAATCAACGATATGGTCAAGGACTTTAGCCTGATCCGGGACAGCAAGAGCACTAGGTTCCCGCACGGTTTCATGACTGCCCTGGACAAACGCTTGACCGGTGTGTTGACGGGTACGGAGAGGATGCCCGAGTTCAACAACAATGATATCAAGCGGACATTCGGCGTGTTTCTCAATGAGTTCAAGAACCCTACGTTCCGAAAGAGCATGGAGAAAGATCGCAAGGTGGAAGACCTCTTGTTGATCTTCTTCTCGAAGGCGACCGGGACATTGCAGCTGGGGAAGGCGCCTGATGACGATGGATGGAAGCTCATGGTCGATCGCCATGTTGCGCTGTTTGTGAGGCTCATCAGTAGCACACTAAACAACAACGAGTGGGCGAGAGACCGACCAGAATTGACAAGTAGGCTGAAATCGCTGGAAACAAAATTGCTGCAGCATGACCAGGACCTTGCAGACGAAAAGCAGAGGAATGGTGGACATGGAGGATCGAGTGTCGAGGTGGAAGTGCCCCGATCTTACGAAGTCAAGGATATGCCGCTGGTTATCAGAGTGTGCAGGATATTCTCGAAGCCAACAGCGCAGGCGCAGAACGACATCAACGCACACAAAGAACAATGGACAGAGAAGGAAGCACTTCGAGACCTGAAGGAATACCAGACACATATGAGTTTGAACACCAGAGCGACGCTCTCTAAGGACGACTTCGATCTGGACGACGCGTACGAGGCATGGCGAAAAGGCGAGTTTAGTGATCTGAGTCAACTCATGTTGGCTCTGCTGCAATCGGATCCCAATCTAGCCAAAAGCTCGAGTGGCAGCCTAGCCCAATATAAGGCTCCCCCAATGGCACATGGCGATAGCATGTATAGCGAGCTCGGCAAGTCACTCTCGAAACAGAGCGGCGAATTTGACTCGGGTTACCCGCTGGATCAGCCAGTGGACATGAGCAGTCTCAATTTGGGTGATTCCTCACCCCACGACTCAGGTACTGGGTCAACGGACACAACTCATGCCAGCTTCACGTTCATCCCGCCCGATACCAGGGCGTACTACAGACAAACCTTGAAGGTTGCGCTGACAGCCGATCTCGAAGATGAAGATCTACAGACAATGGGAGAAGGCACCAAGTTGCTCTCCCCACAGACCCAGGATCTGCTCAATGAAATCGCACTACGATGGCGAGTGCCGCCCTTCACAAGACTAGTCCTGTTTTTGGACGTGATGAGAGAAAAGTACCAGAACCAAGAAATATCACTTGACACCTTAGACATGGCATTTCAGTTCGCCAAGGCACCACCTCCGGAAGTGAAAAAGGGCAAGGGACATTCAGTTCATGCAGACTTCCACGACCGAAGCCGGTGGACCATTACCGACTTTGCCACGATACAGACCGTTTTGAATGGCCTGCAGGATGCTCTGTTGCGAGAATTTTATGAAATGTTCCAGCATGCGTACGAAAACAAATTGCCTCCGATTGGGAGCATTTTGCTCATACTGGATCAGCACATCTGGTCCGACCCATCCTTCCACCGAAATGCAGAAGATATGGCGACATTTGCTAGCATGATGTCGGAGCAATTGCGTGCAAAAGCGCGGGATCAATACCACGATCTCCTTGCAAAGAACGTACCGGACGACTCGGCAAACTGGGAATTTTACAACGTGATTCAACTTGGACAGTCGGTGACGGCCATGTGCAACAAGATCCAGAAGCGTTTTAGGAAGACGCCGGACGTCCTGGGAGTGAAGCCACTTGCTATACTGGTCGAAGAAATTCTGCCCTCATTCTCGAGTGACGCCAAGGAACTTGTTGCTCGAATCATGGAAGTTACCAAGTCGAAGAATGAAGAAGTGCCAGTGGAAGACGGCTTCGAGCTGTATGGCGAAATGGTTTCGATTCGTGCTGTATACTCGCAAGCTCTGCCTGGAAGGGAGTTTACATTCGACATTGAGCATCACTTGCAAGAATTCGTCTGGCGATGGATACAGTTGACTGACAGCAAGCTACATGGTTGGGTCGAAAGCGCTGTCGAGCACGACGACTTCCAGATACGACAGGAGCCTGCTGCGAAGGAGCGCGGAGAGCCGCCAACTGATGACGAGCGGCATTCGCAGAGCGTGGTCGATATTTATCGTATGTTCAACGAGAGTATCGAACGGATACTCAGGCTCAATTGGGACAACGACTTGCAATACGCGAAGTTTATGACAGCCATTAGTAAGTCCATTGGCAAAGGTGTGGCACGGTACTGTGAATTACTGGAGGCCAAGTTTGCCAAAGAAATGGACAGACAGACGCCAGAGCAAGAAGCTCGTGCTCAACAGACTCAGCGAGAAAAGTGGATGTCAGCTGCTCGTGACGCGTGGGTTACCGGCAGCCTGAGCCAGAAGATTGAGCCTTTCAACTTTTGGCCCGAGAGTTTTGTCAAGATCAACAACATTGAATTTGCAACACTTCAGCTTGATAAGGTTGAGCAGGAGATGAATGTCGATGCTTGTGTGCAAGCTATACAGAAGCATGAACCACCGCCGCCACCGCACGTGCGAAAGCGGGGCGAAAATAAGTTCATGTTCACAATCAAGATCATTGAAGCGGAAGATCTCAAGGCAGGAGACATGAACGGGCTGAGCGATCCCTATGTGGTGCTCGGCGACGAGTATCAGAAACGTCTGGCCAAGACAAGAACCGTCTACCAGTCGCTGAGCCCTCGTTGGGACGAGACGATCGACATCTTGACTACAGGCCCTCTGAATGTCATCGCGACAGTGTGGGACTGGGACGCACTTGGTGATCACGATTGCCTTGGTCGCACCAGTCTTAAGCTAGACCCCAATCACTTTAACGACTATCTTCCGCGCGAATACTGGCTCGATCTCGACACTCAAGGCCGTCTGCTGGTGCGCGTGACAATGGAGGGCGAACGGGACGACATTCAGTTCTACTTTGGCAAAGCTTTCCGCACTCTGAAGCGTACTGAGCGTGACATGACACGCAAGATTACCGACAAATTATTGGCATATATTCAGCAATGTCTGTCGCGCCGGACTCTACGTGGTCTGACCAACACCTCGACCTCCGCAGCTATTGCCGGCGTATCGATGAATACGATGCGTGGCTACTTTGCCAAGGTGTCGAATCAGGTCCAAGGCCGATCTGCGCCTGTCGCCGGACTTTCAGCGCAAGCACCAACCGGTTCTGCACTTGTCGACCAAGCTAACAACGCACTCAAACCACTGCTGCAGTATTTCGATGATAACTTTGCGATTATGAAGCAGACACTTACCGAAAGCTCGATGACCATGGTCATGACGAGGCTGTGGAAGGAAGTTCTAGTCCAGATTGAGGGACTGCTAGTGCCACCGCTCAGCGACAAGGTATCGGTACAGAGACCACTCACCCAGACCGAAGTTGACGTGGTATACAAATGGCTTCAGGTAAGCATTGAAGAATGCCGAGACGATTATAAGCTAGGTACTGACCAGTATCACAGACCCTCTTCGAATTCTTCAATGCCATGGATCCCGAGTCTGGCATGGCAGATGGCGTGCCTACGGACGTACTCAAAAGCCCAAAGTACCACGACCTTCAGAATCTCAACTTCTTCTACTTCGAGTCGACAGACAACCTCATCCGCACTTCCGAGGCCATGGCGTCCGCCACTGCAGCACGTCAACAAGAACAAGCTAATCGCCCCAACCGCATGTCAGCGCCCGCCGGCTTCCTCTCCCCTGCATTCGGTGGCACACGGCGCTCGAAGTCGATAATGCAGAGCAGGAACTTGGGTACGATGCGCAAGGCGAAAGAAGAGAAGAGAAAAGAAGCACAAGCAGATCCCAACGACGATATGATTTTGAGGATTCTGAGAATGCGACCAGAAGCGGAGAAATACCTGAAAGACCGAAGCAGGCAGAAAGAACGTCTCGCAGCAGCAGCGGCAGCAGCCGCCATTGTCCGGCAGAGTCTGCAATCCAGCAAAGCTGGACATTCGTATAGTCAGAGCCTAGGAGGGCCACAGAGAGGCGGCATGCAGAGAGGCGGGCCGGCGAGGCAGTGGGGCACTATTCGGGAATGATGAAAATGGACTACAGCACTGATATGGACGTGAAGGAGTAATCGGTTCGTGAGTTTTATGGAAAGTATGTGTTCTCTGCTGCAGGATCACGGACATCGACGGCACAGCTTGAGCAGATATCAGCGCGGCGTTTTCTGAGCGTGACTTGTTTGAATATACCCTTTGTAGCTATGTAACGTAGCCAGACGGCCAGATTTTGTGGTACATGATAATGAAAGAGTATTGTATTGATTCTGCCTCGCCCTCGTGTTCGCAATAAGGTGCCTGTCTGTAGTAGTCACCGGTAAGCTTAAAAAACCCTAAGAGGTAAGAGTGAACGCCAAGACTGACCTGGGTTCGGCCCAAATTTTCTTTCTGCGCCAGCGCGCCTCAACCACCTCCGAGCTCTGCTAGTATTACCCACGTTGTACACAATGAATCCCGAAGCGCTCCTCAAAGCCTACGGCTGGTCTGGCTCAGGTTCGCTGGACTCCCACAACGGCTCCGACTCTCGCGGTCTCAGCAAACCGCTCCTCATCTCCAAGAAAGTGGATGTTTTGGGCGTGGGATTGAATAAACATGCCGCTGTTAGCGATCAGTGGTGGATGCGCGCCTACGACTCGGGGCTCAAGGACCTGGGAACGGGAAAGAAGAGTACCTTGGCTGAGGTCCGGGAGAAGGGAATGTTCGCGGGTGGCCTGTATGGACGATTCGTGAAGGGCGAAAGTGAAGGTGGTACTCTGCAGCTGGAGGAGAAGAAGAAGAAGAGGAAGAGGAGCGAGGAGGAGAGTGATAGCGGGTATGAGAGTAAGAATGGGAAAAGGCGGAAGACTGAGGGTGAGAGGAGGGTGAAGAAGAGTGTTTTGAGGACCGTGGATAGGTTTGTGGTCGAAGCGAAGAGGCGCAATCTGCTGGACGGGGCTGTGAGTAAGTTTGCGAATAGCAAGTCGGTCGTCGACCTATACGGAGAGGAGACCGTTGCCGCAGTTTTCAAGGATGCTGGCTTGGGCCACGGAGGTGAATTGAGCACGACCTCTGCGAAACAGCGAAGGTACTCGAACGAGAAGCAACTTCGACAGCTGAAGAAGGTCGCAAAAGTGTTCGTCATCAGTCAACTTTCCCCCGGCGAGCAGGCAGAACTCCAGAACGGCGGAACGTCATCTGATAATGCTTGTGTGGAGAAGCAGTTGGGGGAAGACCAAGCTGAGGCAGCAAGAGTTGCAGCCAAAGCGGCAAAGAAAGAGGCCAAGTCGGCGCAAAAGCAAAAGGATCGAGAAATGAAGGCATGGGAGAAGGGCATCACGATTGAGGAGTACCTGCGACAACGGGAAGAGAAGAAGGCATCCAAGAGCAAGTTGAGGACTGAGAACGCGGAGAGTCTAGCAATGCCAGCATTTGTCGTCGATTCCGTGGGCGATGACTCCCTCACTGCGCAAGCCAACCAAGTCGTAGATGCTACGGGAAACGTCCGCAACACCACGATGAAAGAGGTCCCAATCCCTTCCGATACCGCGATAGGGAACGGCATCGAAGCGAAGAAGCTGCCAAAGCCCGTCCGTAAGCCGCGGGCACAGTCGATGCACAAAGAGCGTGAAGCGAAGAATTCTTCAAAGGCTCGGGTCAAGATTGCAAAGCAAGAATCGCTTACGCTTCGGATTCTTACAGAGTCGCGGAAGGCCGAGAAGGGCACGAAGAGAGCGACTATCGGTGGGCTTGAGGATGTGCCGCTCATTGCCGTGACCAGCAAAAAAGGAGAGGCGTGGACGAAAGCAGAGATGAAACAGGCGAGAACTGCAGCGAGAAGAACAATTAAGAATGAGAAGAAGAAGACGAAAAAGACGAAGATGGGGAGGGGGGCGAAGAAGTACAAGAAAGTGTCGAGGAAGTGAGGCGCCGCATATTTGCAGCAGGGACACTTATTACAGGTACCCGTGAAGATTTGAATGTTTCCCTGGCATGTCGCTTGTGCGTATTTCGTGCTGTATTCACTTTCTAGTATGCTTACCTCAGCTATGCTCACTGGTCATTACTCTCATTGGGTGATTTTTAGCGCTTGCTTACCCCACCGAAGAAATGACTTCGGCTCCTGAACATTCATCACCAAAACGAGAACCGCCCACATACAAATTCGACTTGGAGCCACTGCCAGTTCATTTCCCAACAGGTGTCGAGATGGAGCTCTTGATCATCGGGTCCTGCGCCTCCACATATCATCTTAACCAGGACTGTTATCAAAATTCCCCATATTGACGAGAGAGAGAGAAAAGCGAAAATCACACCAGAGACACGCAAAAGCCAAGGGTCCGGCCGAGCTGGAGGATACAGGTAGGTACCCGAAGGGAAGGACTTGTAGCAGATTTGTGAACTAGAGATTACCATCTCTGTAAAAAAAACCTGGGTAGATACATGTACTGTACCTAACATGTAGATACGGTACTTTACTTGAGCACGACAAATCCTTCGTTTCAGTCCTACTTCCCCCTTCTTTACCTTGCTCGCCTTGGGTACATAACTTAATCCGCACAAATACACAAGTGCTTCCACCCCCCCAAAACTACGGTAACCTTGTGCACCTTATGCGCCGGCCATTACTTGCAGAGAACAAAGAAGGAAGAAGGAATAAAAGTGATGGTTACAGGTATGAGGTTCCTGAGGTAAGGTATGCAAGGTAACCTCCTAGTACATGTATTCAACGAGAACCAGATATTCACGAGAGTGATTCTTTCCTTTTTAGGTAGCTTACCTATTTGGAGTCGGTTTGATTCGATTGGAAACGACAACGGATCTTGAAAGGAGGTTGGGAAGGTACAGGTACAGTACCTAAGGTAGGTAGGTAGGTAGGTAACTTCCAATACCTCGATGTAGGTTCTTGATGTTGTTGCTGTTGCTCTATACCTACCGTATCGATACATAAGGTACCTAGGTAGGTGCACCTGATGTCATGTCAGGCACAATGTAACTACCTGTATAGGTACCTAAGGTAGGTATATCTTACACAAGTGAGTTGAGATCTCGGAAGAGGGTGGTATAAGGTACGTCAGATCTGTCATTTGTGACTGGCTTGGTACTACTACGAGATTCTACCTACCTACCTGTTGTTGTTGTTCTGTGAGCTGTGGCAAAGAGTGGAGTGGCCAATTCTATATATCCTCTTCCTACATCTCCACGGATTCGAGGTTGGATATTGCTTGCTCGAGGTGGTGTTCTCCTTAGGAAAAGAAAATCCTTATACACTAGTGATTCGGCGATTGGATATACTTACCTTAGGTACCTACCTACCTCACGTATATTGGACCGTCAATCCTATACACGCTTCTTTGCGGAAGTGGCTGGACACGTACCTGCTTTTGGCGACATGTTTTCTAAGTTCCCTGAACAGCTCAGGCTGCCACATCATCTTCTTGCGAAGAAGAAAAAGAAGAAGGAGAAGCCACAAGACGTGGAAAAGGCCACGACACAATCGACTTCGAGCGGACATGCAGAAGGTCATTCCACCAACGGTATCTTCGTCAGAGACAGCATCATCGGTTTCGCGGATGGATTGACGGTCCCCTTTGCGCTGACGGCGGGTCTGTCATCGCTCGGCTCGTCCAAAGTCGTCATTCTCGGCGGACTCGCAGAACTGTTTGCGGGTTCGATTTCCATGGGACTGGGGGCGTATTTGGCGGCTAAGACGGATCTCAAGCATTATGAAGTCGAGGAGAAGCGCGAACGAAGAGAAGTCAAGGACTGTCCTGCTGCGGAGGAAGAGGAGATTTATGACATCTTTGATCAATACGGGATTCCCCGGTTAGCGTCTGCGGGAGTGGTGGAGAGCCTGAAGAAGGATGAAGATGCTTGGGTGAAGGCGAGACGATCATCTCCTGCCTTATTGGTCAAGATGGGAATGCTGACAACCGACGACAGTTCATGATGGACTTTGAGCTGAAACTGGAGAAGCCTTTGCTGAAGACGGCCTGGGTGGAAGGCTTGGTCATGGGCATATCGTACTTTTTCGGTAAGACCGGAGGAGAGGCGATTTGGGCTTCCTTTGAAGGGAAATCCAGTCATGCTGATGGTTCCAGGCGGCCTCTTCCCTATGATACCCTATTTTGTGACGAAGCAGATCAACGAAGCGTTATTCGTTTCCATCGGCATTACTGTGGTCATTCTGCTGGCTTTTGGATATGTCAAGGGCAAGGCCACTGGCTGCTCAGTCCGGGATTCGGCCATTGGGGCGGTCGAGACTCTATTCATCGGGGCGCTGGCTGCTGGCGTGTCTTATGGCATTGTGAAAGGAATCAATTCGTCGAAGCTATTCGACAGCTACGAGAGGCCGTAAGCGTCATGTGTGGTGTGGTATGGACTTATTTATGGTCGGTCAATACGAAGTGCGTGAACAATCCTGAAACATGCTTGCTACTCGGAGGCCGCGGATCAATTGATGATTGGTGTGCTGTTTTGCACGTGATCTGGCGTGTGTTCCGCGTTTCCCGACTTCTACTGGTTGTCTTTCTGCTGACTTCACCACAAGCGTGCCACTCTTTGCACTCGATGCTGTCGGACACATCCTGCTGACCTGCGGAATGGATGAAATTTTCACAGTCGTCGTGCTGCTGTCACGGATGTGGTGCCGATGGGATGATGGAGGATGAATTTTTCATCCTGTCATCCCTGAATATCATGTTCTCGCACTTGGCCTCGTGCCTCGTTTGCCTCGTCCCTCCTGCCTCTGGTCTCCCTTGTCTCTTGCCTCTTGCTTTCTGCCTCTTCTCTCTTGCCCCTCCATCCGTCTCTGCTCTTTCCTGCTGGGAAGCACGGGAAGGGAAGTCGCTCTTCGGCTGGTCTCGCCACTCCAGATCTCTCATCGTGGGCCTTTGAAAGATGCCCTTGTCCCCGCGACCAACGAACGTATCCGTTGTCACCACGCCATTCGTTCCAGCTCAGCACTGTTGCACGACCGTCTGTTCGCGTTAATCCTCGTGGGATCGAGTGCCACCACTAGTCATCAGCCGGTGGGGGAATTGGCTACAGATCGGGGGAACGTAGATCATATCAGCTACCTAGATTGGCATATTCAGTAAGTGTCCATAGATCTTGTGAGGAATGGAAGTACTTGTGCTGATCTGGCGGCGGTAGACATATTACCAGCATTCATATTCCAAGCGAAATCTGCTCCACCTACTCTCCTGCGGCCTCCTCTCCTGCGGCCTCACGTCACGGACCACCTGAGGCGTGAAGTTCTCGCGTTGAGGCGGCGGGCTCAAGTTCAGCCTCACTTGTGCCCAGCAGCGCGTGCCCTTGGATAGCCAGAGCCGGTGGCACGGGTCTCGTAGAGGAGCTGTTGTCTTGCGGGCAGCTGTCTGGAAGACTGTCAGAACGCGTGCTGTCTTCACTTGCCCCTAGTTCTGCTCGCTAGGCATATCAGAGAGAATGGCCGAAGCGGATTGGCCGCTTCGAGACGGGCCCCGGCGCGCAGCCAACGGCTCTGCGTGCGGTTACGCGTCGCAGGGCCTGAATGATGGCCTGGAATCGCTACATCTCCTAGACCACTTGGACAGTCCGCAATTGACCCTGCACGACTTCCACAAGTTCCAACAGTCGCCGCCTCGAAGACCGTCCCCCGAGCTCGAGTACAGACGTTTACGGCGTAAGCCATCGACAGAAGACCTTACATCGGCACATACACCCCACACAGACCCGACTGTTTGCTGGCCTGATAATCCTGTTTGGACGCCAAGCCTAATATTGCCACGCACTCCTCACACAACTTCGCATTCCAACTTCTCTCCGCCCTCTTCTCTCCACTATCGACCACTCACCCCGTGCCCGCGAACGTACACCGCCTCGCCTTCGTTATCAAGCACTGTCGACACTCTCCAATCATCATTGTTTCACACTCCAATCAGTCGAGGTCGCTCACGCGTCGAGCCCGACGACGAAGACCAAACGCTCGACTACTTGGAGCCCCTTCGGACCAAACGTAAGTTCGACTCGCTCAAGCGAGCGAAACGTCTTCCACACACGCGCGGCGGCAGTGGCACTCAACTAGGCGAACCGTGGGAAGTTTACGCAGCTGTGTATAGCCTCCCAGAGGACGCCCAGAAGGTCGGAGGAGAAGAAGAATTGAAATTGAAAAAGGGCAAGTCTGTGCGGTTTCAAAAAGACACAGGCAAGCAGACTTTTGTATCACAAGCATCTGCAGAGCAATCGCAGAGCACAAGGGGAGACCAACCGAAGACTTCATCAGTGTCGCTGTCGAGACTTAATTGGCCTTGGCCGCCGTCGCATGATAATTGGCAAGGTACTTTCGGTGAGTACAGATGCACCGCTCATGCAGATGCAATGGCAGAACTGACTTTGCAGGACATCTCAACACCGTGACTCCACCCTTGACGCCTGCTACCATCTTGTATAGAGGTGCTAGCTTCGACGTTCTCAATCCGCACGCGTCGCTGGTCCTTGGGTCACCCGCGCTAGAAACACCAGCCGAGATCGACGGACTGTTGGACAGCTATTTCGAAGATCACGACCATCCTGCACAAGACATCATGCAGAACAACACTACAGACCGCGAGTCCTCGCCGCCTCTATCGCAAATGCCAAGCGAAAACTCCCGCCGCATTCTCTACGAGGACGCCGAGACTGCTCATCGCAACATCTTGCGCACCCGTGGAAATGACATCGCTCAGGTCTCCGCTCTCCCCAAAGGTCTGGTCGCCAATCGCAGCGGTCAGAGACCATACTCTGATCCTTTTGACTTGACCCTCAGCGAGAACAGTAGCCGTAGCACGCTGCCAAACGTTGACCAGGTTCTGAAAGAGGGCCGTCGCGACGATGCAACTCGCATGCAGCCTCTCGGTCTGGGCATTACAGATCCTGATGATACTCATGCGTATGTGACAGATCGCTCCCGTCGTTTCCATTTAAAGAGTACACTTACGAGATGTTGCTCTATATAGGACATCTGACCAGACTACAAATGCAACACTCAAAGACATCATCGAAGGTTACAACTTCACTAGAGAGTTGCCGTCCCGCTTTGAAGACCCGGAGACTGCTACAAGCCCAGACATTGAGCATGGTCGCGACGATCCCGCTCCGCAGCCGGGCCACGAGAGTTCTCACGGACTGGTATCGCCTCTGCAGACTCCGGAACTTCACCGTGCTGTCCCTCCTAGTTTCCTCAGCAATCTTGTCGACGGAGCAGCACCTGTGCCGACGCCACCACAGCCAACGTACAATGGCATTCGTAAGCCGGCTCTCTATTACACCGACTGCAGTGACCTGCCATCCACCGACCAGAGCTACGGTAACACGAATCATCTCCTGAACATCACGCCAGAGGCTGCTGCTGAGTACCCGCATTACCGACCATACTCCCCTTGCCACCCAGCAACCTGCGTCGACCCTGCTCACATCCACATCTACCAGGATCCAGACCCAGATGCTCCAATCAATTCATCCGTTGAGTATTTTGAAGATGACGACAAGGAGGAAGTTCCTCCTGATGACTACCAGAGCCTCGGTCACGCAGCACCCGGCATGCACGGCGATCAGAGCTGGAGAACCCAAGGTCAGGATGACCATGACGATGGCGATCTCGGTCGAGTAATGCTACGCAGCTCTAGCTTCTATCCTGAAGACAGTCAGAGTGCTTGGATCACTGAAGCCGATCCTTCTCAAAGTGACCTTCGCACTACGCACCGTTTCAGTGGCATGAGCGCAGACAGCTACGCCAATACCAGCTTTGTGGAGAGTCACCACAGGTTCAGCTTCCAGCCGCCAACTGCTCCGCAACCAACTGCTCAGCCACCATTGTCGCCAGTCTTCCACACTCCCCCATCTGTACCACCAGCTGTGAGTGCGTTCGGTGCTGCGAAGGCCATCAGCGATATCCAGGACATTGCAGACAGGCGTCGTCACCTCATCGAGCACCGCATTGATGTCCTCCAGTCGAAGATTGCACAAGAGCAGGTCGCTTCCGGATACAGTGGATCGCCAAAGATCGACGGGGCTCAGCGCAGAGCGGACCTGGCTGAGCTGAACCGCTTGCGAAGTGTTCTTCCAGCAACCTCTCGCCAATTCGTATCCAAGGCCAAGGAGGCAGCAGAGACATCCAAGTTCACTGCACCGACCAACGTGCCCAAAAAGCAAGCAGCATTCGCTCGGACTCCGTACCATCCAAGGTTCAACTTCAGTCGCACAATCGGCCAGCACGACTCTGCTTTCAATTCTGGCTCGGACACTCGAGGCTTGCTGGCGTCTCCCCTCACGCCATCACCATACAATAACCTCGGTTACAGTGAGAGCACTGGCACTTTCATGACAGTGCAACAAGAGTCTCCACTCAATGTCCGCGGTGCTGCTACGACGCTCTGGTCCCCCATCAGCAACGATCCAACCCACAGAGCGATCCATGTGAATTCTGTAGCGGGCAAAAAGCCCACGGTAGTCGGTTCCGACATCGAGCTTGGTCCTATGAATGGCAAGTCGAGTCGCTCTCACCGCGCCGCCATTGGAAGCCAGTACGAGCGCCGCGACCTGCAACTGGTCAAGAACAGCAAGCGTCTCACGGACGCACAGCTCATGGAGCGCTCGGCGGGTTGGACCACCTTGCCGTCAGGTCGCCACGTCCTCCCTGGCCACTACGCCGACTCGTCCGCGGCCACCCTGCCCATGCTCGTCAGGCCAGAGCATGCCATGGGCCAAGCTGCTCGCATGGAGCAAAAGCGCGTCTCCAAGCGCTACGCGATCCCATGCTACGCGATCCCGCCGCTTGCTCTGGCTTTCGGGTTCGGTGCCTTCGATAAGAGCATCAAGAAGGTCACCGAGGGCAGGGTGACGGAGGCCTGCCCAAGGCAGAAGCGGTGGGCGTTGTGGGCGGGCTTTCCGCTCGGCTTGATGTTGTGGACGATCTTCGCGATCGTGATCTACGTGATCACCACTCTCATCAAGCCGAGCAAGGAGAGTGGCGCTCCACTCTCCTAGGCCGGGCGGGGGAGGGGGGACGCGGGGGCAGGTAGATAGCTTGCGAGAAGAATGAAAACGCAACTTGAAATATGAAAATGTGAAAGATTACTCTCCAATTCCATGCTAACTCTAGGTCTCTCTGTACCCTTGGTGCATCCACTAAGCCAGTCAAACTCCCGATAGCAATATTGGATATGTTGCAGACTTGTAAGAGAGGACAAATCGGGATAGAAAGATTACATTTTCCAAGTTGGAAAAGTGAAAGAATACTCTCTAATCCTATATCAACTCTAGGCTTCTCTGTACCCTTTATACATCTACCAAGCTAGTCAAACTCTAGATGGTAAGATGAGACGAATTGCAGACTTGCAAGAGAGGAGGAACTGGAATAGGTAAGAAAAAACATATTTTCCAAATAGAAAAAAAGTAAAAGATTACTCTCCAATTCTATACCAACTCTCGGCTTCTCTATATTGTTGATATATCTACCAAGCTAGTTTAAGCTAAGATAGGATGATCAGGTATATTGTAGACTTGTTAGAGAGGAGGAACTGAAATAAGAAAAAAACATTTTTTCCAAATAGAAAAAAGTAGAAGATTACTCTCCAATTCTATACCAACTCTCGGCTTCTCTATATTCTTGATATATCTACCAAGCTAATCAAACTGCCGGTAGGAGGATCAGATATATTGTAGACTTGTTAGAGAGGAGAGATTAGAAGAGGGAGATATATGTTCAAGTCGAAAAATATATATTTTTGAAGTTGAAAAAGAAATAAAAGAGAAGTCTCTTAGTACTTCCTTCCTTAAGGTATATATCTACTAAGCTAATTCAAGTTAAGATAGGAAGATTAGATATATTGTAGACTTGTTAGAGACGGAATTCTATCCTACTAGGAAACCTTTAGACTTATCTCTACTTTCTCGGTATATATTTCTAGGTATACATATATCTACTAAGCAACTTGAAGTCGAGATAGGAAGATGAAAATACGAGACACTTTTATAGAGAGTAAGAGAGAGGATCGGTCTGGATTGAATACTGAGTATTCCAAGTACCTTCTCTTTGTAACAACAGCATCTGATATATATACCTGATGACTACCTGGTTGGGGATATCATTTGACTCAAGATGATTTGGTTTCAAGATGAAGTTCACCTTCAGAGGCCCATTCATCGTCTCCGGGTACGGAGGAGACCATCAAAGATCTTATACCCTGCGCCAAATCAACGGTAAAAAGATCCAGGGACATTTCCAAGGGGACCACCTCCATCTGTTCCAACCGCGGCACTCTCATCTCATACCCCCTCATTGAAGCCAGCGTAACAGAGTACCAGCTGCTTCGAAGCCAGAGCCAGGCGCTGTTTTGGGGAGGGGGGTTCTTTATTTCTTTTTCTCCTTTCTTTCTTTTTTTTTTTTTTTCTTTTCTTTTCTTTTTTTTTGGAATTGTGATTTAGACACTTGTTGCTCGCTGGGTAATCGACAGTGAGGACTTTCTCAGTGTAGAGGAGTTCAAAGGTCACCCGGGAAGAATGATAGCATCACGCTTGCTCTTCTTTCCCACTTGGCGGCGTGACACGCGGGTCCGCTTACTGGGCATAGCTGTATTCTTGGTATATGTAATGTTCGTGGTACAGACATTCGTCATAGGTCTCATCTCATAAAGTTGTAGTCTGTCGTCGCTGGAATCGTCTCATCATCTTCAGTACACGCTCCCTCTTAAACTCTTATCTTGTTGTTCCGCGCTCTCGACGTTTTCAGCGTCTTCCGTGTCGTCTCCCGGCTCATCACCTAATGGATCAGCCCTCTTATCACTGTTCATGCCGCTTTCCCGGGTCCATCTCTCAATGTCATCTTGCGTAGCTTGGCGACCAGGCGCCTTGCCCACAGCGTTTGGCAGAGTTCGACTCTTGGACGAGGTGAAGTATTCGTCCGAGTCCTCATCTTCATTCATTTCGTGCGGAGTATTGGCTCGAGACAGGCCGCCACCATCACGTCCTGGTTGCAAGTATTCTGGTACGGCAGGTTTTGGTCTCGATGATAGTAGGATTTGTGGTGCGGATGTCGTGGAAGTGATGTTCGCTCCATCGGCCGCCGCTTCGACATGGGCCATGGGAGTATCCGCGGCCTCATCTTTGGGCGTCTCTAATGGGGCAGGCAATACCAATTCTTGGGTCTGCTTTCTCTGCTGGTGCTGTCCGGCTCTCCTGGGAAACTTCTCGTTTTCGTGGTTACACCCATCCTTGCAGCCTCCCCACCTCCTTGGCGGAATCTTGGGGCTGTCCTGTGTCTGCTGCGTCAAGAAACTTGATAAAGTGTTCCTCCTCTGCGGATCAGCCCTCGCCTCGGCCTCTCGCTTCTGTCTCTTCAATTCCGACCACGTGCGCATCTTATTCTCCAACACATACTTGCCCCTCTCATCCTTGTTCATCAGCACAAACTCGCAGTGATTGACATTTCTCAGATCCTCAAAGTACTCGACGCTCCAGTGATACCACTTCATCAAAAACACCCTCGTCATCAAGCCGTGGGTGACCAGCACACAGACACTGGGGAACTCGTCCTCTCCGAACTGTCTCCACAAGCTCTCGTTGAAGCCCGAAATACGATCGTAAGCATCTGCTGCACTCTCCCCGTCTGGAATACGGTAGAAGAAGTGGCCATAGTCGGCTCGTTCCCGCCACATTCTCTCCATTTCGGCAGAGCATGGCTGGAAGTTGCCAAAGTCCTGTTCCCGTATCCGAGGCTCTTCGTACACTTTGATCTTTTCGCGGCTGAAGGGTGAAGGCGCTGCAGTGGGGTCATCGGGATCGTCTCGAGCGGTGAGTGTCTTCAAGATGCCTTCGGTCGTTTCCCGTGTTCGGCGATAGGGGGACGTGTAGATTTGGAGCGTGTCGTCGGGTTTCAGGAGACTTCGTAGTCGGCGCCCAGCTTCTTCTGCCTGTCTTGTTAGTCAGTCTATATACCTCGTAGAACAGGGTACCAGGTATATCGCACCTGTTTATGCCCTTCGTCGGTCAGTTTGACGCGGTGGTCAGGCACCATTTGATGGATTTGACGATCCTTATTGCCTTCGGATTGCGCATGTCTAATCAATATGATGAGCCGTGGTTTGACCATTTTGGTGCTTTCTTGCGGAGGTCCTGATGTTGTTGTTGCTACCTTGGAAACTCAGGTACCTGATCGCATCAAAGGTAAAGGGCGAGGATACGAAGGCACGGTCGGAGATAGCGGACATACGCGCCTGCACTTATATTCCCCAACTCTAAATAACAGCCTCCTTCTCTTTTACCATCTCTACGCGAGACGAAGCCTCTGACACCTCGATACACCCATTTCTAGTCTGTACGATCAATACAGCAAGACTACGCGACCACAACGATACCACTCTTGTCTCTCTGCGACACCGTCTCATCCCCACGAAACTCTGTCGCTCCATTGCCATGTCTGAAAACATACCAGAAAGCATTCCCACTTCCATCTCGTCGCGCTCGCACCGACCTGCCAAGAAACAACGGGCAATCGGAAGCGGCCCTTCAAATCTGCAATCATCCCAAGTCGAAGCCCTCTTCGCCAATCCCGACCGCGAAATAATCATCCCGTCATCCGCATCCAGCAAACCAAAAACACTAGCTGCCCCTCCCGAAATCGTCGCCAACGTCCAGGGCTCTTCGGCTGGTGCGGGATCAGGCGAATTTCATGTTTATAAGGCGAGCAGGCGGAGGGAATATGAGAGGCAGAGGTTGATGGAGGTGGAGACCAAGGAGGAGGAGGCTGAGAGGGTGTTTCGCGAAAAGAAGGAAGCGAGGGAAAAGGAGGACCGAGAGCGTCTGGAGAAGAATCGGGCGAAGAGGGAGAAGGCGAAGGCGAGGAAGAGCAAGGGAAAGAAGGGTGGGGGAGGATCGGGGGATGACGAAGGCACGAAAGCGGATGAGGGCATCAAGAAGAGATTGGGGCCGCAGAAGGTGGCTGCTGAAGGTCAGGATGATGGGACAAGACAGGCGGAAGAAGAGCTGAAGGAAGAAGAGACCGGTGTTGTCATTCATGACGAAGATTGAGCGAGGAAGCGAGATGTCAATTCGACATTGCTCGCTTTTCCTCAAACCACCAACCGCGGCTTAGCATATATACGGAAGCACTTCCAGAGCAGTGGATCTTCGCTCTGGAACCACAATCACGTCCAAGCCCAGGACTTGCATGAGCGCGATGCAGAGGCCCGATGGAGAAGACGAACAGCCATTGCGGGAAGTCACCATGAAGGCAGGGGATATTCTGCGTTTCAAAAAGGACAGAAGTGGCCTTTCAAAAACGAAATGCCTGAGCTCGCAAAACAATCCGGTAAGGGCCGAGAAGAAGCTCCCAAACAATCAGTGCTGCTTCAGTCACATGTTCGAACTTGTGAGCTATTCTGTTCTTTTTGAAATAGTTTACTACAACTGGCCATAACCGGACTGCTCAGTCACCAGTAGCCACGTGCCTGAAATCCGAGCCTACAGCGATTCGTTACTGAGCATAGTAAACTCTGTTTGCTGGTTGATGAGAGATCATGGTGACAACGGAATGGTGGTCCAGAAAGCACTGAAACTGGATGGAAAGGGCGAAATCGACTTGATGGTAGGTCTGTCACATAGATGCGATGTCTACTGGTATCTTCATCAGGGGGAAAGAGAAAAGGAGCAGGACGATTCCAGGAAAGTCCTGTAGTGCCTGAATTATAATGTTATTGAATACTCTACTAGGTGTTGCACCTAGGTGGTATTCGATCTAGAACTAAGAACACTCTCAGGTCGACCCTAAGGTAGGGAACTATTATCCAACATACCTTATTGACAGAGTTTCAATTCGAAAAGTAGCCTGCACTCGTAATCCTTGACCTGCACTCGTAAATCTTGACCTGCACTCGTTATGTCTTGGCATGCACTCCAAACGAATGCGTGGGACCTCAGAACGAGTGCATGTCTTATATTACTTACATAATCACATCACATATCCCCTTCGACCTTAACTTTGCCCGGACTCCCGGAGATGAACCTTTCTGACAGGTTCCTAGGATGGCAGAAACAAACGTCGTTGTTCATTCACTTTCTCTAGTCTGCATATCGACATAGCTTATGCTTCGAAAGGATGTTTTTACATACTACTGGCATCTCGGGCTTCAGCACGGAGAGACATGTACCGGCGTGGGTGGCCTGTATTCTGGCGACTTCAATTCCGATTTACCGAGGCTTTCAGCAACTTGAAATTCCGATCTGTGAACGTGGTTTGGACCACTATAACGCAGTGAACTCTGGAGGGTTTCTTCGAATGTAGCGCGGATTGAGCAACTAGTGATGCTTAGAGACGCAGCAACCTGCGGAGCCTCCTGAGCAAGGACCTAGCCACGAGGGCCATCCGGCTCATTGAGCAGGCGCAGACCCTAGAGCAGAGTAAGATCGGGGAAGAGTGGACGACGTCGAGCAGTAGGTAGAGACAGAAGGTCTGCGGAAGACTAGAGATAAAAGGCATAGTGTCGAAGAACCTAAAGTGCCATGTCACGTACGCTCGCATTGCGCTAGTGCTACTTGTAGTTAGCCTTCGTCCGCGTTCACGCATTCTCGTCAAACCGCAGTTACCGCATGTTTGATAACTCAGGTCCTGTCACTCTCAATGCGCAAGCAATATCATCCGTTCATGGCAATTGCGTCGCTGGGGGTTCCGAGAAGTACCACATGCCTTTGTTTCGACAAATGAACAGTTGAAGTTGAGTTGAGTTGGGTTGAAATGAGTTGAGTTTACGCCCGGCGCTAAGCGCCGAAAGGGCTCGCAATGGCATTCCATTGAAGCCATTGATTACGCTGCTTGGAGCTGGTTCGATTTGCGTGGGTGAAACGTGTCGGTCGTCGAGTTCAACTCAGTCCATCGTAGAGTTGGGAGTTGTATGCAAATTGGGAGCAGAGGCGGAGAGAGTACGGCACGCCAACACTGGAGAGACATCCGGTCTGCTCACAGCATGCGACGCTTCCCCGAGCTCTTGAGGTCATCATCATCTCGTTTTTTTCTCTACATCTTTCCCAGCCCAACGACATTCCTCAACGTGCCAAAAGCCAAAACATCTCCGATTCTTTCCCTTCCACTGAATAGCATGACCAAGCGATCAATGCCACAGCCCCAACCGCCCGTCGGCGGCATACCCCATTCCAAGACTCGTAAGTACTGCTCATCGAGCTTCATTGCTTCACTATCCTTTCCCTCTTCTCTCAATTTCAGCTGTTCTTCCAGTTTCCGTCTCTGCTCAAAGGGACTATTTTCTTCCTCGTACATGTTTGCGTATTCGCGGCCTTGATAGAAGAGTTCGGCTCGGGCTGCGACGGTCTGGTTCGTTTGGGGACAGACGAAGTGCTTGGAGAGAGGCGACATGCAGGCTGGATGGTGAGTGATGAAGATTGGTTCCGAGCTGGATAGTGGTTCGAGGAATTCTGCGGCGAGCACATCGAGCAGGCGCGGAAGGGTTGGATTGGAGGGAACGGTGAGGTTCTTCCCGGCGAAGATGCTTAGTACAGTGGCTTTAGCATCGGGGCTCACAAGATCTGGCAGGACACAATTGAGCTTCGCTTCGAGAGTCGGGAGGAACTCGACAGTGGGCAGAGTCGTTGGCCATTTCAGACGCCGTACTCCTGACGAATCTTGAAAGTTGAGATCTGCAGGGTTTAGATGTGGAAGAAGTCGTTGCTGTCGTAGGCTGTAGATAAGCTCATTCAGTGCATACAGCAACTGCGTTGTGATCTGCATCAGGTCGCCCAAGGTGGCATACGCTTGATAGAACTCGCAGATATTGAACTCTGGATTGTGAGTAGCATCCACGCCTTCGTTGCGAAACGCAGGTCCAATCTCGTACACTCTCTCCATACCACCAACTATGAGTCGCTTCAGCCAAAGCTCTGGGGCAATGCGCAAGTTCAATGTCGCGTCCGACAGCTCAGTCGCCACTGTCTCGAACGGTCGAGCATTCGCGCCTCCCGCCACTGAGCTTAAAAGCGGTGTAGTGACCTTGACGAAACCTAGCTTGTTGAGGAAGTCCTGCAGCTTAGCTTCGATATGGTGCCGCACTTGGATGGTCTCAACGGCTTCTGGATGAACCAGCATGTCGACATGTCGATTGCGCGCTCGAGCTTCGGGATTTTCAAGCGATTCTGGTATCTGATGCAGTGATGGCGACAACAGCGTCGGAAGCTCGTTTGCCAAAATCGAAAGCTCGCCACGCTCAGTGCGGTGGATGAAGCCTTTGATCAACCAGGAGTCGCCTTTCCTCGCAGTCTTGCTGAATGCTTTAAAGGCGTCATCGGTTATAGCTGGGTCATGGTCGCGTAGCTTGCTGAGCTGCACGACACCTTGTATTGTGCCATCTTCTACCAGTATGTCGGCGAAGACAAGCTTGGATCCTGCGGTTCGCACGGTGCTGATGCGTCCTGCATCATGTCAATGTCGCCATGTCCATCAAGTTCCGGGGCAGGTCCTGTCCTACCCGCCAACACAAATACCTCTTCTGGAGGCGCGCACGTATTTCCGTACGTCTCACCTGGGGCTAATTGAGCGCCGTGTTGGAGTGCGGTTCTCCTCGTTATCCTCCTACCGCCCGTGCTGCGCACAGGAGCTACATGTCCAATTCTGGGATACCACTCTGCTCTCGACTTTCGAGCCTCCAACTGCGCTACTCTTTTCTCGTAGTCATGTGTCACATCGTGCTGTTGTGGCTGCTTCGCCAGACATGGGGAGGTCAGGGACAGGGCACGCGTGGAATGCACGACGGGAGAGCGTTTGAAGCCATTGAACAGGTACGGGCGGGCACAGCGCGTGAAAACATCTTTGGACATTATCTACTGTTCTTCAGTCAGCATGTGCACTCACAGTAGTATCCGTGTACACTGCGCAGGCCGAGGATATCCTGTTGGATCAGAAATAATGGTTGTTCACAGTCTCCGCGGACGGAGTCGAACGCAACGGTTCTAAGGTTGATTGAAATGGAGTATTCATCACGATGGGCAGGAGGAAGGCACAGGATGGGTTAGACTGACCTTATCTGCGGTACATGTAGCTGCTGGAAGGGAAGAGTAAAGTGGCTGAAGGTACATGTAGGGTTGATGATCATCATGAGAGGTTGCAAGTTGGTGCTGCGTGCGAGAAAGACTTTTGGCGGAGGTTCACTTCTTGCTTTCCGCTTCCTTTCCCGCTCCGCTTCTCCTACAGAAATTCCTTTTAGCGCGCGGCTTTTGCTGTGCAGAGGCTGCTCAGGGTGCTCAGCCCCCATGTGAGGGCGCTAGGCTAGTTTGGAACAAAGTGGAGACCAAGTTTCGGCCCTACAGAGCCTCTTACAGTTCTGCTGTAGTGGTACGTATGTGTGTATGCGTCGAGGTGAACACATGCCCATCCCATCGCTCTCCAGCTCTACGACATCCTACTCCTCACCCAGCGCACTCCCACCACCGCACACACTCGTTTATATCCCGTGGATTGTTGATCGATTACACGCCGGCTACCACACACGCTCACCCACCGCGCACACATACACCCGCACACACACACACGCTCACAGCCGCCAGCGCGAACGGGTCCGGTAGTCGAGTCTACTGCTATTGGCGCCAAGTCCAACGTCGTGACACCAGGGAGGAGCAGCAGAGTGCCGAGTGCAGCATTAAGGCAGATTTCTGTGGAGCATTCCTCTCCAGCGCAGTGCAGCCGGCAGAAAGAGCACAGAGAGCACAGCATAGTTTGACTGCGCCCGGTCTCCCTAGCGAGGAGAGCATCAGCCGACGACGAGGTGCGGAGCAGTGTAGAAAGTAGAGGCCAAGGCTGCGCTCGTAAGCAGATCCTTAGCCCCCAGCACCCGGCCTTAGCCACCTCCACGCTCAGCTGTATAATCCCAGGCAGGCTCCCAGGGACCGCTCTGCCATTGTCAATATTTTCTTCCCATATCCTCACAACGTTACCGTCCCTTTGGCCTCCGGAACAAGGGAGGGACGGGGAGAAAGGGTGGTACGACCTACTCCTGCACCTCGACTGCGACACCTGGTCAAACACTACTCTACGTACACTGTACTTTGGCCTAACAAGACTTCTTCATCCTACCCCTTCCTGGTCGGGCGCACTCGGCGCTCGCTCCCTCGCCCACCACGTCTTCCAAACACAAACCACGCACCTCTCTGCTCGGCGGTCAGGATACTTCCTACCAGCCGCTGCACGGCAACTCCTTCTCGTCCCAGCGACCGCCCATCTATAACCCCGACGCGACCGCTTACCCTGCCGCCTACGAACCGGGCGGATACCATGATCGTGAGGGCCTCACCACCCGCAACATCATCAACTCCGACTCCACTCGAACGCGCAAGTGCGGCAGGATGTACATACCAAACACCACATGGACCTGGGCCTTTATGCTCGTGGTGCTCGCGCAGGCCATAGCGAGCTTGGCTATGGAAGTCTACGTCTTTGGCGAGTTCCAGGCCAGCTTGGAGATCCGCAAAACACCTGGCGTAGACAAGCCGTCGGCGACGTACACCATCCCCACATATCTGGCCCTGTTCATCTTTGGCTTCATTTACGAGCTCGTGCTCGCGTGGGATGCGTTGAGGCTGAAAAACACGATTCAAGTCATTGGCATATGCATATACAATGTCGGCATGCTCATCTACTCGTCCGTACAGATGGACCAAGTGGACGAGGCTGTGCACGAGCTGGATCGCACAAATCAGATCGACAACGATACATGGCCACAGCTGCGACCGTTTTTGATCGCTGCACCGTGTGTGATAGCACTGGGCACCGTCTTGCTGTCTTTTGTGGCCTGGAAGCTGTACAACGAATTTGCCTGGACTATCTACAAGCACATCTCGGCTGATCTACGACTGAAGAGGCGCTATCTGACATACCAGGTACCTACTTACCTTACACTGCTGTACTTTTCGCCTCTCGTTCCTCCGCACTAACCATGGACATCAGATTTACATCGCTCTGCTCAAGTTCGATTTCTTCTTCTTCCTCGGCTTCACTGTCCAATTTGTTGTCGTCGTGACGGGAACATCGGACTCGGAGTTCTATCTCACCATTGCCGCAATACCCATCACCATCATCATTCTGCTTGTCGCCGCGTACATCAATCGGAAAGAGAGCTACGTGGGCCAGTTTTGCGTCATCGTCATCTACTTCGGCGCAATGGCCTACTTCATCTTCAAGCTTGTGAGAATGTACACGCCGGCAAGAAGAAACGACTACCTTGCAGCGAGGTCTTCGCTCACAACTTTCGCGGTTCTGACGCTACTACTGTTAGTCGTCACCATCGGCACCGCAATTGCGTGCATGATCAACTTCAACAAAGGCCTGAAGCCACACATCCAGAGAAGGAAGGTGCCAAACACCGGAGAGTTGACTGACGGGAAGTGGATTGGAGATGAATTCAATGGGCCACCACATCCCTTAGGTCAAGTACCTCAAAGGATGACGATTGACTAGGCGTTGATTTGATGCAGCCGAACTGGGAAAAGAGCAGGACAAGGCGTGTCTTGTAGAGTTTCTGGTCGTAAAGCGCCGGCGATGACTGCCATGATTTCTTTTTGAAGCTTTTCATACGATACCTCGTTCGAGCGAAATGTCCTTCACACACACAGAAGGACAATGACTGAAATGAAACCAGAACGTTTTTTTTTTGCAGGATGAGCAACTTCTAGTTCTACCATAAACGCGCACCAGCATCATCAAGAGAAAGCATCTCGTGCGACGCCGGAATAACTCTCGCCTTCAGATCGGGTTCCTGCTCAAAAGTCCGATCAAACGGCCACATCGGTCTTTGAATACGCGAATGACCTAATCTTCCCAAATCCTGATCCACCCCTCCAGGAGTAAGAGCGAGCATCCAATCTGCAGCCATATCATACAACTCCGGCTCGAGATATCCGATCTTCACCACGACTACATCCACGCCCTGTCGCGCATCCAAGTTTAAATTCCTGAAATCGCCCTCCTTGTGGAAAGGTTTGCGGAGCTTGCTGAGGATGACAAAGACACTTCCGACTTGCAAGACGGCTTCTTGTTGGGCGTAGCGATCACCTGTTCTGAGCGAATGAACTTTGCCTGTCATGGTGATGGGTCCGTGATGTATGTGATCGACCTTTGCTCCGGCTGTGACTGTGACTGTGGCACCGACTCCAGCTTCAAAGGCTATGCGAATTGCTTCTGGACCGGGGAGACTAGCGTAGATGACCTTCAGTCCGTCTTCTCTCTGGAATTCGGGACGTGCGAGGATTTGTGCAAGTGACCAGGTCACATCACCCGAGCCACCGGCTGTGGGATTATCGCCCGAGTCGGAAATGTAGTACGGACGGGATGAGGATGCGATGGCGGTATTTATACACTCCTCGAGGTTGCCAGTTGGAGCCACAAACTTGAAATCAGCGCGTGCTTTCCAGAATAATTCCGCCAGCTTCTCTGCTCCCGACCTGACGACACTCTCCTCAAAGCCAGTGACCATGACGACGGCGCAATTGCGAGGCTCATCAGCCCAAGCATAACCCACCCAGATCGCAGCATCCAACACGCCTTCCATCGCTTCCACTTCCGGCACAGCAGCATATATATGCTTAGCAGGTTCATCTCGCGTAGAAGTTTGTTCTCCTGGCAGCAATATAGGTAGCGGTATCCACGCCTTGACCGGCAATCTCGGCCTTCCTCCCTCCTCCTTCTCATTGCCCCCTTCAGCCGCCAACAAAACCTTTACCAAATTCGCACAAGCCCGCTCTCTCGTCTCTTCTTCATCCTCATGCGGAGCCATTCGATAGCACGTAATCAAATCCACCTGATGTGCCAACTCACGAGATACATTTCCATGTAAATCCATCGAAGCCGAAATTACCACATCCGCTCCAATCACCTTTCGAATTCGACGTAGAAGCTCTGCTTCGATGTCTTCGTATCCTTCTACGTACATGGCTCCGTGGATGACGAACCATAAACCTTGAATCGGCGAAGCAGCAGCAGCAGCAGCAGCAGCAGCAGAAGAAGAAGAAGAAGAAGAAGAAGAAGAGGAAGAGGAAGAGGTTTCATCATTCACGAGCTGTTGCAATCGAGACACGATTTCATCTGCTAATTCTTCGAATGCTTCGCGCGTCACTTTTCCTCCGGGAATGGCATTTCCCACTAATATCCCGCGCCAGTCTGCAGAGGCTCCGAGGCTTTTGCTGCTGCTGCTGCTGCTGCTGCTGCTGCTGCTGCTCGTGGTCGTGGTGTTTTTGTCGAGAAATTTATATTTGGAGACGACATCTTCGCCGCGTGTGATGTGAAAGTCTGCGGCGCGCGTTCTGGCGGGGGAAAAAGTGGAATTTTCGCAGCCGAGACCTGCGATTGCGATTATGGGCTTTTTCTTCTTTGGTTGTGATGTGCTGCTCATTTCTGGCTTATTGAGGGTGTTTTTCGGGGGTTTGGGGAGAGCAAAATTTCGTGCAAGTGCGGTTGCGAATCTCCGTAACTTGAGATTGATAAAGGTAAATGTAGATGTTGAACATGTTGTTGGCTCGGCCAGCGGCCAACCTAAGCTCCCTCACCTCATGCAGGGTTGGGTTTTAGCGCCGAGGCTAGAACTACCCTAACCTACTCGACTCGTAAGTAGTATATATAATTAGCTTCCATGCTCTTCACGGCATATGTTCTTCATTGTTTTCATGAATGCCTGTTTTTCGTAATAATGGTCTGATGCTGGCCAAGACAGCAAGTCTGTTTTCCATCCCTTTCAGAACCACTCTGGACCACTAATGCCGAACCCAGTCTTGGAATTCGCATTGCTCGGCCCTGTCGTCATATCCCAGTCTGCTCCCTCCCAATTCGCACCCGTGAGATCAACATCTACAGCACCAGAGTCCATGTCCATGCCAAATTGTCTCACCAGTTGATCCCAATTCTCCCAGTCCATGTTCCCAGAACTGTCCACGTTTGAGAGATCGTTGTCCATCGTTTCGAACGAATTCACTCGAGTGGAGCCATTGGCGGCCGATGAAGTTTGCTCCACGTTTGCCGTCACTTCCATGTTGCTTGTAGTGGTGAATGGGTCTGCCGTGACTTCGTCAAAGTTCATGGTGGACATTGGGTCACCGAAATTTCGACTCAAGGCCACATTAGGCGGTGGCGCTGCCCGGGGCAAGGGTGCGGCGAGAGCTGCTGTATTGACACTGGTGGAGGTGTCGGTGAAAGGTGTGGTTGTGTTAGGCTTTGGCTGATGCACCTGATTGAGCATGTGTGTGTTGTTATCAGCAATACTCCTGCCTTTTCCGGCATGGTTGAGGTCTGGCGAGCTCAAGAGCTCATGCTTATCAAGCGGCGTTCGACCAAAAGTCGGTCCCTGGTGGAGGCGTTGCAGCTGTGCGAAGCTTAGCGGTGCCCTCGTCACCACAGGCCGACTAGGATGCCCGAACATGGGATTGGCGTTCGGGGAGTAGTGCCGCAACGGCACACTTCCTGACCTTTGTCTGGCGAGCTGCTCCCTTTGGATTCCTTGAGCTCTGGCTTGTTTGGCCTTTCTGTAGAGCTTCGTCAAAGGACGCCAAAGGTGGCCTACGCCAGTTTCCGCGTGCAAGCCGGATCTGCCGTCTAGTGTACGATCTACCGCTTTCCAAGCGCGCTCGACCATATCACCACTGGTACGATGACAGAGCTCGGATAGAGTAAATGCCAATGCATGCCATTGTATGTATGTCCTGAAGAGCCAGCCCCATTTCCTGGTCCTTGCTTCGTTTTCCAGCAGCAAGCTGTACTCCATGTTTTCCAAACTGGTGATGAAGAGCTTTTCTTTGACGTCCTCTGATAAAGATGCACCTCCATCCTGTCTTTGGAAGGGATGATAGACCATGAGCCACATCTTACTCATCATAAGCCTTGCAACAGTCGCAGTCACCCAAAAGAGCGGTACAGTCATGTCACAGTTCTTCAGATATCGCTCTTCAAGGCGCTTGTGACACTCGGTGATCCATCGTTGCTTGTCTTGCAAAGTCACGGACTGATAATGTTCACCCCAAGTATTTGGTGTTCCCGGAGGAATGTAGTTGATCCTTCGGAAGGTGTTGGCAACATCGAATCGTAGCAGACAGAAGGACATAATTGTACAACCCTGGCGCTCTGGCGGGAAGTCTTCCATGTCAGGAGACATGTCCTCGTCATTGATGTTCAGTGGCATTTTTGTGTCGAATGACTGCTCCACTATGGTCGGATCGCAGCCATGATCTTCGCTGGCCCGTGTATCGAGTATACAGACCTGCCACCACAACCGACGCCGCATCTCAACCTCGAAAGGTGAGAGACCGAAGTGGCTACCGTCTCGATGTATGCCGATAGTCTGGGCAATCCTCACCACAAGTCCGGTCAGAGTCCAGATGACACGAGCATCGCTGTTTCGCCGCAGACAGATCAGGAATATGACAAAGGACTGCAGGACGCCAATCTCTTCTGTCGTAAGGAAGTTGACTCTCGCCAATGCTTGCTCTATCGCGAACCGATAGCGCGTCAGCAGCACTGCCTTCTCCTCGCCCAGCTTAATCAGACAGTCCTGTGCGGATAGACTGGTAGTTGCTCCGTAGTATATGGCAAAGAGTAAGCACTCAAAACCACGAGACAGGTTCGTCAGATGCGACGCAGCACTGATGATGGTGCCCTCCAATGTGGGAACGTGCAAAACCTTGCACAGCGGGTCGACACGGTCTTTGAAGATATCCCAATACCGCTTGATCTGGGCGGGCGGAGGATGAAAACGCAGGATATCAACGTTCTGTGAACTGAAGCCGAAGATGAAAGCATGGTGGGTGTTTGGAGTCTGTTCGCTTAAGCCTGGAGACGCCGTTAAATGGTCCTCCTCGTCATCACTCGACTGATTGAGAATGCCTTTCAAGTCTTCCACTTCCGTGCTCAAATTCGCCCAAAACGAGTTATTGATGTACCTCGACTTGCCCTCGTTGACGACGAGCCGTCCAAATCGGTTCTCGAAGCGCCCTCTCTGCTGCTCTTCCACCCACCTCGTCTTGCTCTGGAACTCCTCCTCGGCGTCTCGCGCCGCAGGTACAGTCTCCGCACTATTGACAGGACTCGCGCTAGGCGATACCACCTCCCGTGCCTTTTCGTGATTGCTGTCTTTTGCTTCTTCTCCAGGCAATTCTGCGCCCATACTCTTCACCACACTTTCCAGCTTTCGTAGTCGTTCCAGCAGTTCCTTATCCTTGCCTTCGCCCAGCTTTCGTGGCTTCCGTGGCCCTCGGCCAGGAGCAGGAAACACACATTCAATATGCGCTCGATTGCAATTGTTGCACGGCCACAGCTTGTCGCATTTAACCTTCCTCTTCCGGCATGTCACGCATGATCGTGGATTGAGCGTCTTGCTATGCGCATCCAACGCAGTAGCGTTGGTGCTCGGCTTCGGTGGCGGCAGCGTTTCATGGTGGTCGTCGCCTGCTGCTGGTACATTATTCGTGGTAGATGGCGTCTCGGTCGATGGAGGAACATCCGGAAGGAAGTCTGATGGCGCCAGGAGGGCCGTTGGGTCTGACATTAATGGGTCATGATCATCATGACTACTACCTCCACTCACGTCGCCGCTCGCGCCGCCGTGCAGAAAAGCTTCTGACGCTGGCAAGTCCTCCGCCATTTCATCTCAACTCCCCCTCGCTCATACATGCGCTTCCGCTTGGCGATGATCTGGATCTGGGAGGTATCCTGGCAAAGCTTAGTTCCTTCGACATTGTCCAAGACACATTCAACCCTCTATTCAAGGACCTAGGTAGAAGAGTTGTCCTGGCTTAGCTGCGTCAAGTGAGACCAGCCAGCATGATGTCCAATTGCAAAGCTACGTAGGTCTAGGAGGTACTACGTAGTAGTTCGACGCGTCTGCAGCCCACTAAGCGAGTGCGAGGTGAATATAGGGTATCCCCGCTCGTATATTGAGTTGGGCTGAATCAACTAGTGTTCAATGATCGACTGGAGACCAATTAATTTGGATAACCAATTGAGACGCCTATTCATCAACTCATAGGGCTGCTCAACACACAACTTCACTTCTACCTAATGCTTCGCCACTCTTCTAATAAAGCCAATCGGGACTCTTTCTCGTTTCTTGGCAGTAACTTCAGCATCAGTTGTGACAGGTAGTATGGGGTACAGGTCATAGTGACTCAAAGTGCGTCGCAGGACTATGAGTTTGGTGGCTTCAGATTAGTATGATACCTATTCACTTCAATTTACAGGTAGGTATGCTTTGGATCGAAAGTGGCTATAAGACTGAGAATCTAGTCAACTCACGTCAATGTTGATTGAACTGGGCTTCTGCGCAAGATGGTCGGTCGGAACACCTTGGCTAAGACGTGAGACAGTATCTACTTCGGACCCTTGCTGAGTCTTGCAACTTACTGCAAGCAAGCCGCAATGGGACCGGATCACGTACGCATACCAACGACCTAGCATCCCTTAGGTGGTTGTCCCTTTCGACTCGTACCCCATGTGAATCCATGCAGGTATGTCACGTTGCAGCTAATAACGGCAAGCTCCAACAAGCCCATGGGACAAGACTGGTAGAACCATGTCGTCCATCGAGGATGAGTCTCCGAATGCCTAGGTACCTTACAATATGGATTGCTCCGGGTGTGACTACGATGACCCCCTATTGCCATGTTACGGTTTACCTCACAATCGCCTGACAACTATTGCCTCGGCAATGCTTACCTGCACGCTTTGCGAGCCGATCATCTGCGACGCTCGTACCTCATAGCATGAATAAATCCGGGGGACGGACACTTTGAACGTTCGTCGCAGAATGACTTGCACGGAACACGCACAGCCACAATCGGGCGAGATGAGTAGGAACCGCCACAGCGTTGACTGACTTGTATGACGCTTCGGCTTGCTGAGCTTGAGGTCTGCAAGCTTGCAGATATTGACTAGGACCAAGCCTCCTGCAAGACTACATTGAGCGGGAGATGCAGCATACCGACAGTGGCGAGTCCGAGCGATGCCTGTAGCACCTTCTTCCAGGCTCCTGTTTTCAGAATCGCAGCCGTGCTATATCTATGAGAAGCCGATGGAGAATGAGGTTGTAGCCAAGTTGGTTCTTCTGCAACTGCGGGGTTTCATCGCAGTGTTGGATTTCAGCGGATTTGGCGGGAGGGTCATTATACGCAGAGACAAGTGACTCGAGAAAACATGGATTCACGAATCGTCGACTTGGCTCCAGCTGCAAAGAGATGACCCTCCAAAGTGTTACCTGCTTTGTCTGACCGCTGCTGCAATACCGGCCACATAACTCGCCTGAGATTCAAGTTCCAGCACAATCGGTCCATTACGCACGGTCTTCCACATACCGGCAATGGATATACTCTCTGGGCTTCGAAGTTTTGATCGAGGATGCTGTTCATCATACTCATTTCACTGCAGAGCCTGTCGGGCCAACGAAGATAGGCAGCAATGTAACGCTTGATACTGGAAGTGGAGATGTGTGGAGTGGCAGCACGGCACTCTTCCTGTTGGTAACACCGTTGACCATGCTAGCATGCATGAGCGCAGCTACATGTACATGTAGCTCTCACCCCACACAAGTCTTGAATGAAGATGAGCCGCGCTCAACATCGTCATCATGCAATAGAAATAACTTCATAATATTCGTGATATGTCTTGCTCCAAATGATCTCCTGCCTTCTAGATGTACACCCTCTTTGCATCCCTCGGATGACATTCTTGGGGACAGTAGGGGCACTTCATCCTGCTCTTCCCCTTACTATGCATATCCATGCTATCCTTAGCAAGCACATGCCCGCAAGGTAGCATCATAGGGGGATTAGCATCAGTCGCCTGATCTTTGCTGACAGGACAAACGAAGATACTGTGGAATGCGAAGCCGGGCGGCAGAGGAGTCTCAACTGGTAGTTCGTTTACACTTGTCCATTGTCCTCGAGCCTGCGTGATAACACGTTCGAACTTCTCTAGGACTGGCAATGCAATGCCACCTGCTGTGACAGCAGTGTAGAGTGGTGATTGCGAAGAGAGGCCAAGCATGCCGCAGAACTCGCGCGTGAAAGAGGTAGAAGCTTCTTCAAAAGCAGACTGATTGTGGAAGAGGGCATTGTATGGCGAGTCCTGAAGATTCGGACTAAAGGCCAGGGAGGCGCTCAGTGAGGACGTCTCACGACTGTAGCGCTCGCCAAAGGTGGGAAACACGTTTCGGGCGTACTCCAGTGCTCTGACCGGTCCTGCTAAGTAGTCTGGCTCGTCGTCTGTCATGCTATCTGTCTTCGAGTGGTAGAGTTCAACAAACTTGAGTCTGCTGAGTTCAAATTCGAGGTTAGATCCGCGGTGTTCTAGCTCTTGGCTGTGGTGGTGTGCCCAGTCTATGGCCGGCTCCAGATTGTGCTGGTTCCGTAGAGCATCGAGGATGTGATACATATCCGAGAACTTCTGCTGCAGCCCACTACGCTCCATTTCCGCTTCTGACCTGCCCTCCATGCTGTCCTGCATCATCTCATCGGTGTCCTCCAAATCCTCAATCCAGCTCATGCCCGCCATGTCATCCGACTGTGCGCCTCCTGCTCTGTTCGCAGGAGGCCTCTCCTTGACTTCCCTCACGAAGGTCTTGGCCACGTCGAACTTGCCCTCTCGTAGCAGATGCATTGCAATGGCGCGGTTGATGAGATTCGGCTGACTGGCCAGAACATCGTTAGAGGCTGTAGGCAAGGCAGCACTCTTAAATTTGTCCTTGAGCGCCTTCGAGTACTGGTTGATGCCTCTGTTGACCTCTCTCAAGTCATCTTCCATCCTCGTGAATGACTGCTTGACGGGCGTCGACAGCTTGGCCAGGTGCAGCACAGCCTTGTCGGGGCTCTCAGCAACGGCATCGCGAGCGGATTGCAGCAGATCAATTAGTTGTTGAACGTCCGTGATCGCCTTGGAGAGATTCCCCTTCTTCTCCTGCTGCTCGTGAGCTGCGAGTATGGCTTCCATATTGGCGGATGCGGATCCTCGTCCTGATGCAAGCAGCGGCAGCAGCGATCACAGTAGTGGGCTTATGTATATTCGTGCGCACAGGGAGCCCACTCATCGGATTCTAGCCCAGGCAGTCAGTCATCTGTTATTCATTCGCGTGAATGAGAAGGTGGCCTGTGGAGTACATGTAGTCCAAGGTATAGTACAGGAATGGCAACATCGTGAAGAGTGGGTCGGGAGTCGGGCGAGGTCGGCTGTCGAGCTCGTGCCATGACGTGCCGCGCCGTGCCGTGCCGCTAGGACTCCCGCCCGTCGGCTATAGCCACACCTGTGACACCATCCCGTCTACATGTACCTCCTAGGCGGCCCCACAAACACCATCCTCATCAGGACCCATCCTCTCTACTAATATACCTGACCCGTCCGTCGCTTCAGCTACTGTAGCTACCACAGTACACATCCATACGCTCCTCCTGAGGAACGATCTCTAGAGCGGGTCCAGATCGGCGATAGGCCTCTCACCTTGCAGCCATGTGCAGTCCCAGTCGTCAAACTCCGTGACACCATCTCTGGCCGAACCCGTAACGTTGATGCGACCATGACCGCAAAGACGGTTCAGGAACGTGCAAAGCTGCGACCGCCGCCCCTTCAGACGTCTTCTCTCAGCCAGCCTGCTCCAGCAGGGGCGGCATTGTTCCCGCCACATCCACCGATGCCTGGTCAAGTGGAGAGATATCCGGAACTGGACGAGAGCGCGACACAGGAACCTAAGTCTGGTCAACAGCGCTTCGTACTCACAGACCCGGTCGCATTCAGGTATCTGGAAGAGGATGCTTCGACTACACTTGTCGATCGCCGAGCAGATCTTCGAGGCTATGAGTGCTGGATCGTTGAGCAATGGACCACTTCTCGCATGCATCCGACTTTCATGATCACAACATACACAGGCGACCCCTCTCACACTGTCAAAGTGGGTGTTCTAAGTGTACCAACGGACGAGTCTACATGGTCTTCCAGATTGCGAGTATACTTCAAAGCCCTGAACCAATTTCATGCCAAGCGGCGTGAGACACCTCTCGGCATCTTGATGGTCACCAATCTCACTGGCTTCCCTTCATCGCTGGCTGTGATACCAGTTCCAGACGGCGGTAAGGCTCTAGAAATGAAGCACGAAGCGAGTTGAGCTCACACATTTGCAGATGTAGGCAAGCACAGGTTCGACTTCTTTGTGAACGAAGACCTCAAAAGGCTCGGCTGCTCAGGTCGTGTCGGTCTGTCACTTTCGCAGCCTGCAGCTTCCACTGTAGTCAAGTTCCATCAGTTGTACAGGACTAGCGACAAGAATGACATCTACAAATCAGTCATCGAGCTGGTCAAGCTGTGCCAAAGCGCACTGACTTTGTTCGACAAGCTGGAGATTGACTACGCAGATGGCCTACTATGCGACGTCACAGAGCGTGCAATTAATGACTGGTGGGTGGAGATGGGCAGCGATCACTATAATGTAGAACCGCACGATGGAATCCTAGGCCCTACAACTGTCTCCGGGCTGCTAGGCATGCTCATGGGTGCTAGGAATAGATTGCACGCCATGAGTGCGCCTGTCTCGAAGGACCCTTTTGACATAGTGACTATGAAAAAGGCCATCAGTGCTTTCCAGAAACAGCAGAGGTTGCCTCGCACACGTCGGCTGGACCGACGGACCATGAATAGGCTGCACAAGGCAACACAGAAGGCTGCCGACAAAGTGCATTGGACTATGCCGAGAGCCGTGAAGTCGACAGTAGCTGAACTCAGTGGGAAAGGTGGTGATCTCCACGATGGCCTGGGACGGCGTGATCGCGCGGGCATTGCCGAGATTGAGACCGTGGATATTGAACGGTTTGTGCAGCTGGTTTACGGTGACCGGTGTAAATGGTTGTGGCTTGGTAAACCACCCAAGAAGCACAAAACTAGCGATGCTGCCGATCGCGCGTCGCAAGACGTACAAGAAGCTCCACAATTCAGTAAAGGACTTGTCTTTAGATCTGACGAGCATGGAGGCTTCACATGGACTGCAGGTCGCAAAGGTACGGTGGATGGCAGTGAACCGCAGAGACGAGACATGGAGCACGAGCAGCAAGGCGACTCTGGCGCACCCGCTCTGTCGGATGAAGGCGAAGAAAGCGACAAAGATGGTCAGCATCCAGTCTTTAAGCGTGCATCGACCATTAAGAACGATGCCAAAAGTGGCTTGAGTAAGGTCAAAGATGCCGTAGGGTTTCGTGGTCACAAGTCAAAGCCTTCGATAGACGACCCTGCAGCTCTGTCGCCAATTGAACAGAGAGGCAATAAGCGACCGTTGCTCAGCCGATCGCGCACAAGCCCAGTCAGCAGCCCCAGCAGTCTCAACCTCTCGTCTAGAGATCCGTCCAGACAGGTCTCCGCAAAGTCTGCTGCTGAGCAGAGCAGCCGACTCAACACAGCCTTGAGTGGGAGCGCTTCTGGACTTGAGGACTACCCGGAATCGCTAACTGAAGTGTCTGGCCCGCAGGTTACCTCAGAGCAAGGTCTTCGAGGCCCAAAGGATGCCGCATCAAGCAAGACTGCCACGAATGATACTGGCCATCAGCAACATACCAGGGACAACTCGAGCGCGACCTCGGGGACAGCGGAGCTACCATCTATCGCGGGATCAGTGTATAATGGCGTTGACTTGAGCGAGGTCCTGCCTGAAAAGGTCGAGACAGAAACCGATGTTCCTCAGCTCTTGCGCCGTACGACCTCGTATTCCCAGTTTGTGACGACAGAGCTCCAGCCTCATGATGAGCATGCGCATCCGCGACAATTGAGTTTCAGCTTGGCAGAAGACAGCGTGTTGTCTTGGGATCCTCTACCTGAAGACGAGTATGATCCCTTCGCTTCCTTGGAAGCGCAGCTCGCAGAGCAGGAACATATTGCCAACGACGCCAAGAGGCTGCGCAGCGTCATCACGGCGCTGCAGACTGAGACGGCTCCTTGGACACAGGCTGAGCTACAGAAGCTGTTCACTATCCTCAATCAAGCAGATCGTGACCAGGAAGCGCTCGATCACATGTACCTGCCACATCTGCAGACTGTGCGCGAGCTTCAGGGGCATTCAGGCGGCCTTCTCAGAGAGGAGAAGGAGCGTCTGGAGGATGGCGTCAAAGAGATCGAGGCCTTTGCCGCGAAGCTCGAATACGAGGTTGATGCACTGAAGAGTAAAGTGGAAGATGTCACGGCTGCTGTCAAGGACTACGAAACAGGCGTAATGCGAATTGAAGAGAGAGTCACGGAACTCGAGAGGGAAGCTGAGGTCAGTGATGGCTGGAAGTGCATTATGCAATAAGGTAGGTAATGGTAGTAGCAGGTTAGTAATAATGTTTATATACTAAGATACCCCGTCACATCGTAGTGAAGCCAAAAGTGAGTGTATTCTATGTCACATGCGCGCCCGAGCTCAGTTCCTGCACGCGGGATCCTTCCGCTTCAAATCACTATGTTCTTTCACTTTACTTTCACAATTCTTCCCTTGCCGTAACAACAACACAATTTTTCTTGCGCTGCGGTGCCACCACTAAGAGCTCGTCATGCGCCTCCGCCTTCGAATCGAGCGTAACGAACTTCCACCAACTCAAATCCTTCACTCCATCCCGTCGACGCAGACTTCGCAGACCATCGCGCAATTTCTCCAAAACATCAACGTCCTCTTCCCGCTCGAATCCACCAATTGGGACATTTCTGACTACGCCGTTCTGGTTGGAGGTTACGAAGCTACGCACTATACAGAGGTTGGCCAGGCTTTCAAGGATGAAGACGAAGTAGTCATCAAGCCGCTGGGCTTTGCGGAACTACGTGCGAGGAGCATCACAGGACGAGATCAGATTAGTGAAGATGGGAGACATCTACTGGATGGAATTCCGTTTGGTAGACCAATGCTGAAGAGGCCGAGGCGACCGGAGGTGAACATTCCCGCTAGGAAGAGGCAGAGGGTTGAAGATGTGACGGAGGCCGTGAGGGAGGAAGAATGGGATGACGAGGATGATGAAGACTTTGAGGATGGGGGGGAAGTGGATGAGGAGAGTGAAGAGGAAGAGGAGGAGGAGGAGGAAGAGCAAGAGGAAGATGAGAGTGAGGACGAGCTTCGAGAAGAAGTTGATAGACCTGTGGAGAAGATTGCCGTCAAGTCCAGCGCAAAATCAGCGGGGAAGGTCAGCAGTAACAGTTCCAGTGATAGTTCAGAGGACGACAGCGATTCGACTAATAGTGATAGCAGCTCGAGTGGAAGCGATAGCGACTCGGGTGACAGCGACAGCGACAGCTCGAGTGCTTCGAGTTCGAGCGCGAGCGAAGCGTCGTGGGACGGTATTGATGAGCACACGGCCATCAAAACAGGATCAGCTCCCACAAGAGTGGCAGCAAAGGCAGAAGTTGCCAAGGCTGCGCAAACGTCACGAAACACTGGACTGCCGAAGCAAGGAGATCCTAGAACTAAGGAGAGGAACACCCGTAGGAGGGACTCGAAAAGGCTCAAGCATCTCAAGAACGCAGGTCTATTGCCGCAGACTGCCACTTTGCAGGACATGTACACCTGGCAGCGGAATTGTAATCTAGATGAAAATGGTGCGAACAAAGCGATAATGGAATCGGAGCGCAAGAAATTGCTGGACCAAATCGCATCTGGAGGTGTCGATATTACAAGTAGTCGCTCTGCCGGGCAGGAAGGCGAGGACGATGATGAGCCGCCGGAAGAGGAGTCAAGCCGGCCCAACAAAGTACGATCACTTGCCGTGAACGTCGGTGTCAGTGATGCGGCCAGTACCCAGATCATCACTGAGATCCAACAGGCCGCGGGTGCTAATTCTCGGAAGCTGCCAGAAGTGCTAGCCCCAGAGGCTAATGTTGAGTCGCATCAAGCTCCTGCAGCAAAACGTGCGCGTCTGGATACGAAGAGTATGAAGCGCCTTGTCTTTGGCTCGCTCGGCCTCGGTACTCCAAAGACGCAGGAGGATCGCGAAGCTGTGCAGAAGAAGCTTGCAGCCCGCCCTAAGCGCGCGGCAACTGCTACCCCTTCGGTCGATCAGGTGCCAGAGCTGATTGCTGAAGAGGAGGAAGATCCTGATTCTTGGCGCGACAAGATCGTGCTGACTGCCGTAGAATGTGTTGATGCAGATGTGACCCTCACTGCGCCACCTTTCCCGTTTCAGCAACGATGGGATCCGCAATACCAATTCACCAAAAAGCGAAAGATACCGAGAGGACGCAAATCTGGCGGTCAGAGCAATGGTGAATACAAACCCTACGATCCAAGCTACGACCAGCTCGAATCTGCTAGACCCGACAAATACAATCAAGGCACTGGCAGTGATGCTCTCAACTATGACGATGACGAGGAAGATGATGAAGATGATGAATCGTATTGGGAGGAAGGTGCGCTTTTGGGCAACGACGACGGAGAGGCAGAAGACGCAGATGAAGACGACATCTTCCCCCCAGTGCCGGCCAACATAACTAGCTTACCTCCGCTAGCAGCTGCCGAGGCGAAGACTGGCGACTTCGTCATATATCAAGAACTTTCCGTCTCCGCGGCTACGAGTTGGCAGCCCAAGATCACAGCTCAGGTCGCGCACATTAAGTCTTGCAACGAAGACGGTAGCTGGACCATTCTCCTAAAGCAGAATAGGCCAAAAGAGTACGCTGCAGACGGCACTCGAATCTATAGTAAGTTCGAGATGGAGAACTTCAGCGACGATGGCAACGATGAAAAAACCAAAAGGGTGCTATATGCCGAGCTGCAAGATCCAAGATTACTGCATCGCCCCATGTTCGATCTGGAGGGTTCGTAAAATGAACTTGTCAGGATCACATCGCGCCCAATTGAGGAGAATCGAGATCATCTTGCACAGCTCTCAAGTCCGCATTCCAGTCTCTCAATGGGAAGAAATTTGCGGTTGATGTGGCTGACAGGCGCCCGCGAGACGCTGGACATCGGAAAGACATCGAGGCTCATGTCAAAAGAGGGCACGCAGGGAAAGCCACTCATCTGGCGAAGAAGCTGTGCCGCTCGCTGGCGGTGCTCGCCGCGCCACTAGACTTTCAAGCTGGACGAAGGTGAACCATACCCGGATGTAGATGGCGCGTCCTCAGCCACCTCCAAAACGAGTGCGAATTGCAGAAAAAAGAAGAAATACCGCCGGTTAAGCTCATGCTGCATTTTCAGACGCATTTGAGAAGTTATGCCTAGCTTCATATCGGTACCGGAGGCCAAAATACTAGGTCTGTCTCCGTCGGGTATGGCATTTGATTGGGGTGCATTGTGAGTAATGTCTGGTTATGGGGCTCATGGCTCCGGCTCTCCATCAGGTACGTACGTGCGTAATAATAGCAGGGGCGGATTCCTGACTCGACAGTGGTCTATGGAAAGTAGTATCATGTTCATAGCCTCAATACGCCCAAGTTACGTTCCAACTTCTGTCTCATTCTTGTTGTTGTTGTTGTTGTTGTTGTTGTTGTTGTCTGCCTCTTTGCGATTCGCGCTAGCTACGCTACATGCGAATGAATTGCTTCCAGGTACACGATGTACTACTCTTGGCCAGACCGCCCTCCACGACTCCATTGGGCATCATCAATTCCCTGCATACCTAGGTATATCACCTTCCCCATCACAGTGTGACCTAACTTCCACATCTTCGACCATCACACTGTGGCAGGCAAAAGAAGCCGCAGGCGACTTGCTCGACGAATCTGGCGAGGACGGACTGCACATTCTACCTGCAGAGGAGTGACTTGGTATTGATACATCTGGGACCCAGTGTCCTTATTCTATTCTATACTACAGTAAATGCAATACATTGCAATGTAATTTTACAAGATGCTCGCTTTGAACGCAGCTCTACCTTACTTGTACACTCAAAGCTCCTCCTCCTTCCCCTCCTCGACCTGCTCATCCTGGGCTATACTATCCGGCGCATCTACTGGCTTTCGCAAAAATGCCTCGAGGAGGACTCCGGTGGCAACGCTCACGTTCATACTGTCCACGCCGACATCGGGCACGCTTTCTGCTTTTGGTCCGCCCTCGATCGAGACGAAGTGGTCTGCGCGATTGCGCAGATTTTGTCGCAGTCCTTCGCCTTCGGCACCTAGCATGAGGATGCAGGGATGTTTGGCTAGTGGACTGTCTGCAGCGAGTTTTGAGGTGTTGAGGAACTGTCCGGCGGAATCGGGCTTGCCGGTGGGGGCTACCGCGGCGTATACTTTCCACCTGTATTTGGACGAGTCGTGTACGAAATTGGAAGGCTGTGGGAGGGATAGCAGACGCATGGCCTCACATGCGCCTGAAGACGCTTTGGCTAGGACGGCTGATGATAGGTTGGCGCAGGTGTTCGTTGCAACGGCCACGGCATCTACACCGTACACATGACATGTTCGTATGATGTTGCCAACGTTGCCCGGATCTGTGATGCCGTCGAGGAGGACAACGAAGGGATAGCGCCAGCTACCAGTGAGAGAGTTGATGACCTGAGGGCTGCCATTGATCTTTGCGTCTTCTGCACTCTGTGGCGCAAGCTCAAGGGGAATGTAGCCCTTCGTGATTTCTGGTTTACGAAGACCGAGTACCGGCACAGTCGGTAGCTTTGACGCCTCCAGTATGACGCCGTTGTGAGGGCGACCGTCGGACATTTTGTCTAGCATCGCTGTCTTGGACTCGTTGTGAAAGGGGATGCCTGCTTCTTTGGCAAGAGCCATAAGCTCGTTAACTGGCTTCTCTCCAGAAGTAGTGCCCTGCGCTCCTACGACTTCTTCAAAGATCTTGCGATGAATGTAGAGTTTGTAGAGCTTCCGACGTCGAGCTTTCAGCGCTGCAATAACACTGTTGTAGCCGTAGATGAATTCGCTTGCTGCGGTGGTGTAAGGAATTGAGACTGGGATCTCATCCTCTTCTTCGTCCTCCTCTACTCGTCTGCGTCTAGATGGTCTGTCATCGTTCCTCGTGGCACGACGCTCGTATTTGCTGGGCTCCATCGACTGCGCACTTCCTGTGGAATCTGGGTTTCGGGGCCTTACCGTCCCAGGCGCAGGCGTGCCAACCGCAAGATCAATCGCCCCATCTCTCGTTACATAGATGACGCTTCTCTTGCCGTCGGGCATCTGGCCAGCCAAGAATGTGCCAGATCTGGCCTTCTTGTGTAAAAGTGAGACTACTGCCTCGGCGGGCTTATCCTGATTGAAGCTACCTGAGGTAATAAAGGAATTCACAGTCTTGAGCGACACTTTCGCATCTCGGATCAGGTCATCCAGACCATGAGTCTCGCCGGCTTCTTGCTTTTGCTGCAGGAAATGGACCTGACGACACGCATCCTTGACAGCCCGGAGGAGTCCCTCAGCCGGCCCAGGTTGAGCGCGCGAGTTTGGCTGTCCCCGGAAACCCAGATCAGATTTGTATTCACTCCTGCGGTTCGAGGCTGGAATGACCGAGAAGGTCGTTGAGTCCTCAGCGGAATCACTCGAGCGACCTGCTCTCTCGGCGCGTTCTCGGCGTCCCGGGTTGAAGGGTCTATCACGGGGAAAGTCATTGCGGTCTCGTCTGCCACGATCTGGAAAGGACGAGCCGCGATCTGAAGAGCTTCTCTCGGAATAGCGCCCCGTACTGCGCTCTCGGGATGCAGGCGTGCGATCTCTGAACGATGAACCTCGTTCAGACGAGGCTCTATATTCCACGTCGCGGCTGGTCCTGCTGCGGTCGCCTCGAGTGTCGTCAAAAGCGTCACTTCTTGAAGCACTTCTTCGCTCGGCGTATTGACCAGACCTGTCGCCGCCTTGGAAGCCAGATCTACGGCGATCGGGCAAGCCATCTTTCGACGGCGGTCCTCGTCTGGTCTCGCTTGCGAATGCATCGCGGCCTTCAAATCGCCTTCCAGGCCGGGAACTGGTCTCAGGCTCCGAGTAGGCACTCAGTCGCCGCCGATCCTGGGCAGATGGCTTGGGCACTCGAGCCTCGCGTGCATCTCGTGATGGAGGACGGCTCCCAATGGACCGGTCTCTGCCTCCCCTTCTCTCCCGTCCATCATCTCTGGTGGCGCGTAGACCTCTGTGGATGGCGGAGGTGGTGGACACCCATGCGTGCTGCTTCAGTCGATATCCCGTGGACAGTCTGCAACGGAAGCCAACATGCCTCTGCAGCAGTGTTGACGACATGTAATTCAATTGGTGTTGTTTGCAGTGAAGTGTTTGATGATTTCCATGCAGATTTTCTGGCCAAGCTCGGCATTACAGTTAACCTAGAACTAAGTGCGTTAGACTGGAAATAGTTCCAGGGTCCACGGCTGTCTCAATGCTCCAAGTCTTACATCGACCGCGTCCTCCAAGCTGGACGTGACAGCTATAATAGCCTTTCCTACCACCACAACCACCCTCGCTTCTTTCCGCAGCGCGTCTTCCGTGCACATGCCAATGACCGAGCAATAGAAGCAGTGCGTGGCCACTGACCGCCAATATGGCCTTCGCTTTCAACGCGCAGCGCGACTCGGACGATAGCGACGGGGACCTCACAGCATGGGGTCTGTCGAACACCGCCGCGCCGGCAGCTCGTCCCACTGGGTCTGCGCCAGTCGTCCCAATGATGATGGGAAGTACCCCGGTGGGTGCCCAAGCCATACGCGACAGCTCGACGCCCGGTGACACTGTCGACAATGGTGATGGCGCCCGCAAACGCCAGAAATCCATGGCCTCCAAGTCGCCAGCCGCGCCTTCTTTCGGCTTCAATGCGATCAACGCTCCGCCGCAAAGAGCGTCTAGGGCCAGCTCGGCATACAACGTGCAGTCGGACGCGTCTCCTGAAGCAGACACACTGTTCGTGGAAGAGGAGGAGCCTAGACGTAAGGGAAAAGGCCGGGCAGCTGCGACGTCACAGGAAAGCAGCACGATGGAGTCGAAGCTGGTTGTGCAGGTCTCTAGGGCTGAGGCCGACGAGATCAGCGACTACGAAGATATGAGAGCTGGCGCAGACCGTGTGCGGCACGTCTTGAGCGAGCACTCGTACGCTGATGGAACTCTGCTGTACAAGGTGCAGTTCGCAGATTTCCACGATGAACATGTATGTCACCTCAGATGGCTCATCCATTTGCTGCAAAACTCCTTCACCTTCATCTTTCAGCTTCTGGCCAATCATTCTACATTGTGGTTGCGTTGCTGCTCACTTGTCGCCCTCATTCGACCGACTCGCAATCACATAATAGCACTTAACGCACTACAATGCACGAAATTAATGTCCAATATCTGCATCTCCTCATCCATTTGCCTTCACATTGAGCCTGGGCCAATCTCATCTGACATCTTTTCGCGCAGGTGACTTTCAACGACTTACTGCACTACGAGAACGGAGAGGAAGCAATCGCACAGTTCAACGACACTGAGCCGCCTGTCGAAGTGCCGCCACCGACTCGACGAGGTCCTCAGAACAGCAACAGAATGTCTTCTCGCAGACCAAATGCTGGTAAGAGGACGACTGCAGGCTTTGTGAGCACTGTGGACAATGTCGATGCCAGCGAGGAAGAGCTGTCTGAGGAGGAGACGGCAGCATCAAGGCTGCTTCGTGGCCGGAAGCGCAAACAACAGGACATGTCGCAGTACGTGGACCACGTCGAGCCCGAAGATGAAGACGAAGAAGAGGACTCAGAAGATGAATTGCAACGACCGACTCGTGCTGGCCTCCGAAATTCCCGGACATCGACCATAATTGGCCGCAGTGTGCGGACACGTCGTCAACCCACTCGTCTCACCGAGGATGAAGACGAAGATTCGGACAGTGACAATGTCCTTACGTCTGACTTGCCTGGACACCGGCGCCGCAAGCCTGGCCGACCCGGCCGGCCTGCTAAGAAAGCCAAGATAGTCAAGGAGGGTGCCCGTCACAGCGAGAGGGCTACGAGGCATACCGGTGGAATGGAGGAGGTCGAAGTCGACGATATTTTCAGATCAGAGTCGGAGGAGCCCAAGCAGCCCGCCAAGCCCAAGCCTGTGGGAGTCCGCGAGATTTTCAAAGAGCTGCCGCGTAACAACGAGTTTCGGATGCGCCATGCGCAGCATTGCGAAAGTTGCGGCGGAGATCATGTCCAATCGAAGCTGATTTACTGCCAGGGCTGCTCGTTGGCCTACCACAAAGGCTGTCTAGGCCACCGCACGAATCGAGAACACTTGGTCACGAAGGTTGAAGAGGACGACTTCGTTCTCCAGTGTCGCCGTTGCGTTGGCTTTCCCCGCAAGAAGGATCCTTCAGCACCGGATCATGGTAAGTGCCAAGAGTGCCACCAACACGGTGCGGCTTGCCGCCCGTTCAGAGCTCGAAAGTCGCCAGCACAAGAGCAGCGTGATAGGGAGGACAATGATGGCGTGGATCCGATTTATGATGTTCCCCCGGAAAAGATCAACAACGTGGACAACGTCATGTTCAGATGCTCGCACTGTTTTCGAGGGTTTCACTACGAGCATCTACCTTCCCGTGCCGATTACGACATGGTCGAGTTGGAAGCCGACCCCGAACAGCGTTTCAGAGAGTATAGTCGAGACTGGAAGTGCAAAGACTGCGCAGATATGCCTGCTAAAGTGTCTGGTCTCATTGCCTGGAAGCCCGTAGACGAGGATATCTACGATCCCGCGCACGGTTTTGAGGGTGTCGAGGAAGAAGACAAAGTCTATCTGGTTCGTTGGGATGGTATGTCCTACTTCCGCGCCAAGTGGATGCCAGGGCCATGGGTCTGGGGTGTCACACCTCATGTCACTCGCAAGGCTTTCATCAAGCGCGATGACTCTCAGCACCCCAAAATGCGCACCGAGGATGCCATCCCAGAAGACTACCTCCGAGCCGATATTGTGCTTGACGTCAAGTTCACCAGCATTGTGGACATCAACACACAAGAAATTGACAAGGCTCGTATTCGCGAAGTGGACAAGGCTCTGATCAAGTACAAAGGCCTGACCTATGAAGACGCCGTCTGGGAGACGCCCCCAGGACCCGACGATGGTGAACGTTGGTCGGACTTCGTCACTGCCTACAATGACTGGGTTGCTGGCCGCTATGTACGGCAGCCCAAGGTGGGCGCTCTGAAGACACGACTGGAGAAGATTCGCAAGGACGACTTTCGCAATCTCGAGAAAACCACGCAGCCTGAGACCCTGGAGGGCGGAAAACTCATGGAATATCAACTCCAGGGTCTCAATTGGTTGTACTACAAGTGGTTCACTCAAAAGAACGCCGTCCTAGCCGATGAGATGGGTCTTGGGAAGACAATTCAGATCATTGGCTTCCTCGCGACGCTTGTGCAGGAGCATCATTGCTATCCCTTCCTGGCTGTTGTGCCAAATTCGACTTGTCCCAACTGGCGGAGGGAGATCAAGCGTTGGGCGCCAAGTCTCCGCGTGGTTGCTTACTACGGATCTCGAGAGAGCAGAGACTTGGCCTACAAACACGAGTTATATCCTGATAACGCCAAAGACCTACGCTGCCATGTGGTCATTACGAGTTATGATGCTGCAGCGGACGAGAATTGCCGCAAATTCTTCAAGGGTGTTCCGTGGCAGGGCTTAATCGTTGATGAAGGCCAGCGCTTGAAGAATGACAAGAATCTGCTGTACAGCGCTCTCGCTGCACTGAAGTGCCCTTTCAAGATTCTTCTCACGGGAACGCCATTGCAGAATAACCAGCGTGAGCTGTTCAACTTGCTCCACTTCCTTGACGACAGTTTTGACGCTGCCGCTCTTGACGAGGAATTTGCCGAGCTGGATCATGAGAAGATTGGCAAGCTCCACGACATGATTCGACCCTTTTTCCTGCGTCGCACCAAGGCTCAAGTGCTCACCTTCCTGCCACCCATGGCTCAGATCATCATTCCAGTCAGCATGAGCATCGTCCAGAAGAAGCTGTACCGAAGCATTCTGGCTAAGAATCCCGACCTCATGAAAGCCATTTTCAGCACCGAAGGCAATGTCAAGCAAGGCGAGCGTGGAAGCTTGAGCAACATTCTCATGCAGCTGCGAAAGTGTCTATGCCACCCATTTGTGTACAACAAGAGTATCGAGGACAGGCACGTGGATATGGCCGCCTCGCATCGCAATCTGGTCGATGCTAGCTCTAAGCTCAAGCTTCTGGAGCTCCTACTGCCCCGATTAAAAGAGCGTGGACATCGAGTGCTCATTTTCAGCCAATTCCTGGAGATGCTTGACTGTGTTGAGGACTTCATGGACGGCATGCAGCTGCGATATCAACGACTCGACGGACAAATCAGCTCTTTGGTCAAGCAAAAGCGCATCGACGAATTCAACTCTCCAGACTCGCCACTATTCGCCTTCTTGCTTTCAACGCGAGCAGGCGGTGTCGGTATCAACTTGACCTCAGCCGACACAGTGATCATCCTCGATCCTGACTTTAATCCACACCAAGACATCCAAGCCTTGTCCAGAGCTCATCGCATCGGCCAGCAGAAAAAGGTCCTTTGCTTCCAGTTGGTGACTCGTGCTAGCGCGGAGGAGCGAATTATGCAGATCGGCCGCAAGAAACTCGCGTTAGATCATGTTCTCATTCAAGAGATGGACGTCGATGATGCCGAACAGACCGACCTGGTCTCCGTCCTTCGCCATGGAGCTAGCGAACTTTTCGAAGACAGTGGCGAGCAAGATATCGTCTATGATCCTGTCAATGTGGAGAGATTGCTAGATCGCTCCCATATGGAGGATACGAAGGTGGGAGAGGATAAGACTGCCGAAACTCAGTTCTCATTCGCACGCGTCTGGGCCAACGGCGAAGCAACACTACAGGATTCCGCCCTCGAAACAGAAGAATCGGCACCGGATCCTGGTGTATGGGCGAACATCCTGAAAGAGCGGGAGCGCATCGCAGCGGAAGAAGCCGCGGCTAAGGCTGAGGCTTTTGGTCGTGGTCGTCGTGCTCGGGAGCGTGTCGACTATGCTGGTGAAGGCGCGGATGGTGAAGCTATAGACCCCAGTCCGCTCAAACGTCGCAAGAAGAAAGATTCGGGGGGCGACAGTGACACGGATTTCCAGGCCGAGGAAAGTGGTGAGGACGATATCGAAGATGAAGGTACGATGATGGAAAACGGTGAGCTGCTCGATCTAGCGGCGCCACGTACTAAACCCCAAGCAGGAGACAAATCAGGTAAGACCTTTCAGAAATCTTCAATTCCACAGTCCGAAACCCCGTTGAAGGCACAGTCAAAGGCACAGTCAAAGGCCACTCCAAAGCCGAAGACGCCCAAGACGCCCAAGACGGCAAAACGAGCACCCAAACAGGTCAAAAAGACGCCACAGAAAAGAGCCTCGGTGAAGAAAGCTGCTGCTGTCACACCAAAGCCTATACAATCTGTGGCGCGGCCTGGTGGCGGTTTCAATGTCTTCATACCTCTTGACAGAAATCTGTCGAAGGATTCTTCGCCTTCAACAGGGAAGAAAGCCTCGAAGAGAATGAAAATTCCGACATCTACTTCACCCATGAAGAAGTCGGAGTCTGTCATCATGGGTAGTGATGAAGAAGATAGCCCGAGGGCAAACACCCCATGACTCACCTCAAAAGAGATACGAAAGTAAGACACGGGCTAAGAGGAGATTCGTCAGATTACCCAACATTCAAACGCGTTATCATGCCGGCCCCGATTGTGCCAAATTCGATCAATTCGGCACCACCTGCGAACGGAGCTTCTTCAACCGCCAGCAACCCTTCGATGGCGCTCAGCAGCACAGAAGCTACCCAAGCCGCACGCCAGACTGCGCCTGGAATCAACTGTCGGGCTTGCACGACACATCACCCAGTCGGCAGTTGTCCTCTGAAGATTGCTGGCGTGGAGTTCTGCAATCTGTGCGGCATGGCTCACTATGGCCATGCACGCGTCTGTCCTCACATTCAATCAGAGACACAGGTAAGTCATGTTCGCAATGCGCTGCATCCCCTGCTGACCTTGCGCCAAGGTGCGAGCCATGCTCGAGGCTCTCAAATATTCCAACGAGCCGGAGCATTTGGTCAATGAAGCAAGACGGTACCTGCGTGGATTGAAAGGCAGCCTCGTACAGCTCAAGAAGAAAAAGGAAGAACAGCTGCAAGCTCAGCGGGAGGCAGCCTTTGCTGCACAGCAGCAGCAGCGACACGCATATCCTGCAGCTGGATACCGTGTCCACCCAGCCTTAGGTGAATACTGAGCGAGCGTTGTAGCGGGAGCCATTCACACTGAGGCGCGGCTTGGTGGTACTCCTTTCTCGTCTTGTGGTGAGAGAGACATGTATGCTTTTCAATAAGTCCAAGTGCCTCGCTGCCGACTTAAGGTAAACTCAGCTGCAGCTTCAAAGCATCCTTGGCCACAATTTCTTCCTTCTTCCCTTCCAGCTCGTCCACATCCCAATTGGCAGAAACTAATCTGCCTGACAACCACTGCTTCTCGCCCACTGTCAACCACACGCAAAAGGCTCCACACAAGTCCGGACTGTCCGTCAAATACGGTAAGAAGTCAATCGGTGCTAACCGTTCTGCCTGCTCGCTCAGCACGGCTCCCGGATGCACCGCAAAACAATTCAACCCTTGATCCTGATATTGTTCGTGTACATGTTCCAACAACTTCAACTGCGCACATTTTGAAACGCAATACTGCGTATTCGCAATCGGGCCTCGAACAATCATCGCTGCCATGGACGATACTCCAATAAACGTCTTTTTCTTTCTTTCCCCATTTCTATGATTATTACTTTGATTTTGATTTTCATTACCATCCTGATCATGACTACCATTCATCTCATCATCACCATTAATTTCCACCACCACCACCACGTCCTCCTCCTCCTCCTCCTCCTCCAACATCAACGGCACCAAAAATTTCACACAAAAAAACGTCCCCACATAATTCGTCCCCGTCACCTCCTCAAAACTCTCCACCTCCGTCTCCGTCAACTTGGTCCTGATCAAGCCCGAAACGCCCGAAACCAGAACCACAACATCCAACCTTCCCCAGCGCCTCCGAATTCTCTCCGCGAGCCCCTCGACAGATTTCGAACAAGTAACATCACAATCCCAAATTTCCATCTCCAGAGCCGAATTCTCTGCATGACATTTTTGGGCCAAATTCTCCAAATGGGGAATTCGACGCGAGGCGAGGATCAGAGCCGAGGCGCCGGCTTGCGTGTATGAGAGGGCGATTGAGGAGCCGATTTTGCCTGAGGCGCCGATTATGCAGACGATGAAAGGGTGCGGGAGGCGTGTGAGGGTGGGGTGGAGAGTTGGTGGCGGGTGGGAGTGGTGGGTGCGGAAGGCGGATTGGATGGGTTGGGTTCCCCAGTTGGATGGTGACATGGTGATTTTGAGGGGGGAAGTTTGTGGATTCTGATGGATGGAGGTTTTGTGTGTTTTGGTATTGGGAGAGAGATGGAAGAGGAAGGGAATTGATCTACATGGCTACTTACCTACCCCAGGACTGAATACATATGTACTTCATCGTTTCGGATCTCTTTTTCCTTGCACAGTGGTATTACTAGGAGCCTAGTAGGAGGTAGGTAGGTAGCTTGGATGATGTTGCTTCTCTTGCCTGCTTGAGCTCCCTTCTTATCGATTTTGGTAGGGTTCTATTCACGAATGAGATGCTAGGAGGCAGTAATCCTTACTTCTACGCTTCTACCTACATGTACCCATCTTACCTGTCGGGTCATTAAGGGTAGCTCTCCGATCAATCATAGGCGAAGCAGACAAAGAGTTATTCCCCCGAGTAGAAATCCATCTACAGGATAGAAGAGGTCTTGAAGGAGGTGCGACCATACATTGTACCTAGTCTTCCAACTTGAGCTTCAAACTTTTGGAAATCACGCTTACCTAAGTCCTTACCTTCGGTCCTTCGGCCCTTCGGGGGAAAATGATCCGCTCTCAGAGCTTGACTTCACATATCTGTGGCCTGGCCAACATCGTGAAGGAACTCCTTTTTTCCACAACGACGGGAGGTGGTAGTCATGTTGTACCCTTAGCACTCCTGCTCAGAGCTCAGTCCTCTTCCCTCGATGATTATTAGACACTTCTTGGCACAATTCAAAAGCACCCGCAGTAGAGGGAAAGGAGAAGTGAGGCAAGAGGAGCTCACAGGTTGTGAGACATGATAAGAATGGAAATACTGGATCAAGAGACTGTGTTCGATATGGACATCAAGTTGGCGTCATGTCGACGAAGGGACTGCTGAAGGCTGCGTTCAAAAGCATGGAAAATACAAGTCAAGACAGTAAGAGCATGGTGTTCATTTTGACTAGGAGGTACACGAGAAGCAATTCAGTTTGCGATCTAGACCGAACAATGCTCGCTAGCTTTTGTTGAAAGATCTCGGGATCCCGTCAGAGCCAGAAGCGTGGGCGATAGAGGCGCTCGTGCACCCATCGTTGACTGTCGTGACTTTCAGGTGCCCAAGAGCCCTAGGCTGTGGGCTTACCAAGTGCCAGTAGAAGCAGCTGGAGCAGGAGACACATCAGTCTCCCAGGCTCCTCCGCCGCCAGAGGACGCAGCACCAGCACCGTTCTCCCAGCCATCGCCTCCTTCACCTTCGCCATCAGCGTCGGCGCCTGTCTCCTCGGCAACATCGGCTGCCTGGTTGGTGCAACGGCGAACTAGCCGATGGGTTAGCTCGTGACAATGATGGCCGTTAAGTTTCGAATGCACTTACAGGTGTGACCCTTTTGGTGGCACTTAGTGCACTCCACCTTGGTCCAATCAATATCCTTCTTGCAATTGCGAGACTCGTGGCCCATTTCGTCGCAGTTGCGGCATTGGATCTTGGCCATATTGCGTGGTTCACTGCGAATGCGTTAGCTTGTGTCGATCAGGATAGTAGAGTTGGGCCAGACTTACGTGCACTCGCGACTGCTGTGGCCCCACTGGTCACAGTTGCGGCACTGTATGACACGCTCGTTGACGCAGTCACTCTTGCGATGGCCCTCTTCTCCGCAGTTGCGGCAGACATCCGGGGGCTTGGTTGGACAGTCACGGCTCATATGGCCGACCTCGCTGCAGATGTTGCACTCGATGTCGGTGCGTGGCTCTGGACACTATCAAAGTATTAGCGAATCATCTTCATGGTGGATCATGAATGAGGATGGTCCTACCTCCTTAGCTTTGTGCTCCTCAGATCCGCAGTTTCTGCAGCCGCCACCAAAAGTCTTGCGTGGCTGAGGGCAATCGCGCGCACGATGACCGTCTCCATTGCAGTTTGCGCAATTGATTGGCACTCGAACAGTCTCATCCTTCTCCTGTTTGCATTCCCTGACGTTATGGCCAAACTCATCGCAGCGGCGGCACTTCTCGACAAAGCTGTCCATGACAATGCCGGCCTCAGCAAGGCGAGCGAGATTCTCCTCTGGAGATGCTGGCCAGCCTTCGGCGAACTTGGCACGCCTCGGCTTGTCCGAAAACTGGAAAGACACGACGTACTTCAAGTCCTTGACGCCTTGGAAGTTAACGATCGTGAAGCTCTCCGCGAGCTCCTGCTCCTTTGCAATAAGATGGGTGTTCATCTCAGCCTGACGAAAGGTCGCCTCAAGCTCCTGGAACGTCAGGGTATCGAAGACTTTGGCGTAGGTGTAGATACCCTGCAAAATATGTTAGTCGGCAGATATCAAATGGCCAATGTCATTGCGAACCTTCTTGATATCTTCAAGTTCCTTCGCGGCGTCGGCAGTCACAATGTTATCCCAAGCCTCCTCAACATTCACATCCTCGATGTTAAGGGCACTGAACATGGCTCGCATGCGGTTGGCACTGCAATTGGCCTTGCTGTGACCGCGCTCGCCGCAAGCACCGCAAACCTTGAGTGGGCAATCAGAGGCCCGGTGACCTGGTTGCTCGCATTTGTTGCAGATGCCGTCGAACTCACGCTCGACCGGGGCGTTTGTACACTCAGATTTCATGTGACCTTCTTCTCCGCAATTGAAGCATGCGCCACTGCCACCGCCACCATTACCACCACCGCCGAAGCATTGTGGTGGTTCTGGGCAGTCACGAGCGAAGTGCCCATCAGCATGACAGCTAAGATCCGTCAGTAAAGTTCGATGCTAGCAATGCAATGTCACGGTTGCAGGATCGCTCACTTTCGGCAGCCGCCATCGTGGGCAACTCCGGCATGACGAGAGACATTCTCCTCTGTAAAAGCATTGTCTTCAGCAGGAGCACCGCCATCTGCATCCCAGTGGCTATCGTGGCCGTTACCATTCCAGCCATTGCCCGCTGCTGTACACGCGTCAGTGTTGTCCCACATAAGTGCAGGTCAGTGGGAGTGTGCAGTGCTTACGAGCCGGACTATCATCCCAAGTGGAGGCACCCATTTTATTGGATGGAGTTGTTGCGTTTGATCTCGGCAATCAAGATGGTCGAGCTTGTATCGACGAGGTGGTTAGCGTCGACGAGAACGTAGTGGCACTGCGACGATGGCTTCGGACCTGATCGAGAAGACGCAGTAAGTTACTGTGCGAGCGTGGCTGTCTCCTTCGTTCTTATGCTTGGGATAGCAGCAGTGTGTTCCGAAAGATGTCTGAAGTGAAATGAATGCCGAAAGAGGAAGTGAGACGAAGGGACGGGTTAAAGCGGGACAGGTGAAAGTTTGTTGTTGATGTGTTGTTCAACAATACGGCGCGTTTGCCGGGCACCGGTGAAGACGGACAGGTGGAAATAGAAGTGGCAGGAACGTTCGAGTCGAATTGCGAAAAGTGAGAGTTTAGGTAGGAGCGTGTCAGGCTCAGTGTGCCTATCAAACCCTTGGCATTACGCTCACCACTAGCCGAAATGGCGCTACTCACAGGTTACTGAGCTCGGGTATTTTATGCCCTTCGCTGGAGCCTGCATGCTATAGGCAGGCAGGTTGCCCCATCATATTTGATGCCTCCCATTCTTATGCTGCACCAAGTCTCATTTACTATCCAGCAACATTCTCAGCAACCTGTTTTCCGTCGGCACTGACCTTTCCCGCCTCTCTATCACTTGATGCAAAAAGCTTAGCAATAGCTTCGACAGTCGTGTTACCACCACTCAACACCACCCCGAGATTGATGCCCTCATGACCAGCGAGCTGGGCCAGCTTGTTTCTGAAATCTTCATTATACAGCACCACGGCCAGAGGCACAGCAGCACTCGGTTCAATAAACAGCTTGGCTCTCTCCATAGCAAGTCTCAAGGCAGCTTTGATCTCTTCTTCACTGACAGAATAAATTCCCTCTAATTTCTCCCTGTCCGAAACGATGTCCCAGGGAATCTCTCCCACAGGCGTCCTGAGACCGTCGGCGATAGTTAACGTCTTGACTTTTTCTATCCTCTTGTTCTCTTTCAAGCCCATTTCAGCATCGTTCGCTCCTTCAAAGTTCGGCTCGGCGCCGAAGACTTTGATGCCAGTTCCGTGCAGCGCGACAGCGATTCCGGAGAGCATTCCCCCACCTCCTATAGGCGCAATCACAGCATCGAGACTCGTTCTTCCGTTAGCGCTATGCTTCAGATCATTCTTCAGGAGTTCTTCTACTTGTTCTTCCAGCTCCAGTGCTTGCGTTCCTTGACCCAGGATGATGTCTGGGTGATCGTAAGGCGGCACAAGAGGAGCACCTGTTTTCTCGATGACCGTGGCAACCACGGCTTCTCGCTCATCGGACGTAGATCCAGAGAATATCACGTTAGCACCGTGTGACTGAGTACCTGCAATCTTGCTAGGGGTGGAGATAGTAGGCATGACGATGTGTGCGGGAACGCCATGCGTCTTTGCAGCTAAGGCGAGTGCTTGAGCGTGATTACCTACCGGAAAGCCCATCAGCACGGTATCTCGATCGAGCAATCAATTGCCCAGGGTTCGAAAAAGTGGCATACCACTACTATGTGTAACAACGCCCTTCCTGCGAACATTTTCCAACCCCTCCTCTTCAATCAACCTTCCCAGAGCGTGAAACGCCCCACGAGCCTTGAAAGCGCCTATACGTTGCTGATTCTCGCACTTGAAGAACAACTTGACGCTGAGGGTGGTCGTGCCAGTGGATTTCTCTGGGCCGACGGGTTGCCCTTCGCTTCTGTCCACCTGTGCGGTGCTTGCAAGCCGATCTATGGTTTCGCAAGTAGCGATCGGGGTACGGCGGATGTAAGGCTCGATACGTCGATGAGCTATCCTTACGGAATGCCTCGTAAGGGATGGACATGTCTTATGATCAGCCATGGCTGGCGAGTAAATAATGATATTGCGTGAATCAGTACAGAAGTAGAGGTGATGTTCTCCCAAGTCAAAACGATGCCACTAGCGGAGAATTGTTTAGGCTAAATTGAGCTAAGTGCCAAGACTGTTACAAGCACTCTGCAAGGTACAACTGCCAGTACCTCCTAGGTGCTGCTGCGGTCGGAACGGGAATTGTAAAAAGCAAAGAATCATTCCTGCATATCTTGTAAATCATCTGCGATCTCATGCTGCTGCGTGAATCATTCCATCGTAAGCGTTGCTCATTCCGTTTGCATCATTCAACTATCGCTTCTGATCGTATTGCTGCTGCGAATAACCGCCCGGCTGACTTGACTCCTGATAGCGAGGAGGCGCGGCACCATTTAACCCAGCTGGATCGTATGTCGAGCTTGTGGGATGATAACCTCCCTGGGGCACGCCTGGTTTCTGAGATCCATTCGGAATGCCTTGCTTCTGCTCAGCCTGCATTCGTTGTAGCTCTTCTTGAGTGAGGTCGCCTCCATCACCGCCACCGACTACTACTTCGCCTCCACCTCTCACTTTCCCAATGACCATGCCCTTGGCCACACTTTTGATCACAGCTTTGCGTGAGACTCCAGTCACGTCAATGTATACTAGACCAACATTCTTGACTCCACCAGCCAATTCACCCGCAATGGATCCGGCTTCTTGTCCCCATCGATGTCCTACCATCGTGCTGGCTGCTGCCCCAGAAGTATTCAGCAGTGTCATGCCGCTAGTTGCGATACCGTCCATGACTGTGCTGAAGGCGATCATGCTCTTATTTAGCATACCCGGCTTGTAGTCGTCCTTATCGAGCGGATTGCCTTTTTCGTCGAAGCCCTTGTGCGGCCGGTCTTTAGTGTGACCGCTAGCCTTTGCGGTAAAGTTCTGAATGTGATGCCCAAGTTTCCCGATCGTCTTATTGCTAGTAGAAGCTACACTCGTGGTCAAAGTATTGATCTTTCGCACTCTATCATGTGTGGCCGGCTTGAACTCGAGAGGCTTTGTCACCGGTTTCGTAGATTTGGTAAAGTTCTCGGCGCCCTTGGTAAACCAATTGCCAACGAAAGACGTCGAAGTCACAAGTAGACGTGATGCGGTAGCGGCATTTTGCACAATGCTGCTGTCTTGGTATGCTGGATGCCGGGCCATCCGCAGATAGTCTTCTGACACTGGTCGCACCTCGATGCGCTTGCCATCCGCACTGATCTGCACCTCCACAGGGTCTTTTGAGCCTGGCTTGAGCTTTGAGTCCTCGAAGATCTGCGCATCCCCAGCAACTTCTCCCACCACACTGCCATTGTCCTCATCGATCAACACGATCTCTCCATGCTTTTTGCCATACACATCGTCATGTGCAAACTGACCACCAGGCGCATAGTCTCGAGGGTTGTACAAGCCTCCCTTCTCATTCTGTTGTGCTGGATTTGGGGGCTTCGCGCGCTCCAGGAATGCAGTGCATTGCGCGAGGATGGTCTCGAACGTATCGACATCGTCCTGCGTAACGCCAGACCCGAGATTGGGAAACTCGATTCTCGTAAAGGCACCTGCGCCTGGACCCATATCCCAGCGGGGTATCAGGTAGCTCGTTGGCGGCTGATGGTAGACCTGCGTCGTCGCAGGGAGTGGCAGGTCCAGCTCTGGAGGAAGATTTAGATGAAGATAGAAGTCTTGATCTGGGGCTGCTCCAGCAGTGGTCCGGTCCGCGAATGCAGAGGTCGTCGGCACCATAAGGAGTGAGAGAGTCTGCGGGCCAGATGGGCATAGATCTTGCTCTTGGCCATCTTGAATGTGGTATGCTTTGATGCCTTTGATGGCATAGAGCAGCTTGGGATCATCGTGGCCCGACATGCTGTGGGTCATTCCAGGTCGTGATGTCTGTGCTACAGCGAGTGGGCTCAACCAGCGACAATGGAGTGGAGAGATGGAAGTGCCTGTCTGAGAGAACTGAGGCAGAGGGAGAAGTCGATGGGAATGGAAGCGCGAAAGTTGGCAAGTGTGATGGATGTAGCATCATCCTGCATCGTGCCCGTCTCCGCCAGACTTTAACTCGATGTAGAGGTCCCCGACCAAGCTGGCCATCCACGAATCGACATTATGGCTTTGCCGCTCAAGCAGCAATTGGATCACATGTGTCGGCTGGAACTAGCAATATGGATGGTGGAGGGGCGAGCGTGCATCGTCATACAGAGGCTGAGCCGCCCGCTTGGCGCGCCCTGAGACTTCCATTCCATTTGTGGCTGCGTAGAGATGTGTTTCAGAGTTTAAGAGCCCTGGAGAGGTATTACATTGTAAAACTAGGTAGAACTAAGTATGTACATGTAAAGGTACCATATCTTTTCCAAATCTTCCCCATCTCCACCATGACACCTCCTCTTCCAGCATCTCAGCTTTAATGGTGTTGGCTAAGCCTGCTGCCTGTCGCCATCACAGACGACGTGGGACGGTGGCGTGGAGTCGTGGACACCAGACCCTTCCATGCGCTTGGCGCTGGCGTGGCGTGTCTTCTCAGCCGGACGGACAGTCACATGAAGATCAATACGTCCCAGCACTTAACCACGCACATGCTTACGAATTGTGCGGCATCCGGGCATGCTTTGCAAGATATCCATACCATGACCATTCTTGATGCTTCTTGGAAGCTTTTAATGATTGTAGGTAATGAAGCTCACAAGTCTTGGTAGTGGTACGCTGGCTCCCCACCAGGCCAGACCAATATCATGACCACATGCTGGCGGTCCTTGATGCCACCACCTGGTCTGTCTGACCGGGCATCTTCTACATGTATTACAGCATCCTTTACATGTATTACACTTCTACATGTAGGTATTACGGCAGCCAGCTCAAAGTTCTCTCCTACCCCCAAACACAGCGCAGCAGGCCCATCGCGACATGACTGGAATTAACAAACATGGAATGGCCCATACCCCCCCAGGTTCCCCAGCGACACAGTCGAGTGAGGAATTCAAGCTCGTCGCTCCCGCACGTGGAAAGCAGCGAAATCGATCGCTGCCCGGAGACGGACTCACTTTATGGAGTCTTCCTAGAGAGCTGCGAGACCAGATCTACGAGCTCGTCTGCCTGACAGGCCAGCAGGGTGTGCCCAGCTATCCCCATCTTGTCTGCAAGCAAATGGCATTTGAGACCGAACGGATTTACAGCAACCCCAATTTCTCCGAAGTAATGCACGCCAACGCATGGAAGCCAGACTGGACACCACGTGAAATTCCTTCACAACCACATTTGCCACTCCACGGCAAGCACAAAAAGCAAAAGAGCGTTTGCTTCACCATTCCCACGTTGCGCACTCCTGGATACAAAGGTCTTCTCGTCGATGCGTGGTATTTCGAGGAGGATCCCGGCCACGTCGACGGGTCATATGTCTGGGTCAGGGCCAGAGCTCGAGACCGGACGGAGACGAGACGGCCAGATTTCATGTTGCTCGGTGCGCCAGCTAAAGCAGTCATGGCAGAAGCCCTGGACCGATTGGACGCAATTCAAAGTCATCTACCGCGCAAGGCTCTAGTAGTCGAGAAACATGTCCGTGGTGCATTGGAGGACATTGCGGGCAGAGTGCGGAGTGACTCTCAAGGACTATAGAATTGTACTTGCAATTCAATGGTGGTACAGGGTGAGTTCCTCATAGTTGGAATGTGTTCTTGATGTGCAGGGGAGATATACACAGTTCTGACAATCTTTCCACTTTTTCATGTACCATACATAACTGTACCACACATAGATACCTTACCTTACATGAGTACAACTCCATCCAAAGGCTACGACACTCTATAAACAGTATGAAAGACATCCAGACATCTTGAAAACTCCATAGATATAATCTCGTTGCACGGCCAAAGCTCTGGAATGTGTCTGCACATTCTTCCTTGCATGCTCAACAAACAATGGCTCGCATGTGGTTGCCGCAAACATCAACAAATAGCTGCATCTGCGGTGCCCACCTCCTTCCTTCTGTAAATCGATCATCAACATTCAAGTTGGTCTCTGGTTTCAATCCACATCAAGCGCCATGGCCCACAGACGTGTGAACTTCGGAGGGGTATCGAGATTTTCTGGTCGTAACACTTCGATGCAAAAGGGGACCTCTCCAAACAAGAGCAGTATGCGCCTGAAAGGACAGGACCTGAACGCAAGAGGTCCAATTGAGAATGTCGCTGCAGATGAGGAAGGTCCAGGTGGTTCTACAGATGAAGATCCAGTTTTTTCTACAGATGACGAAGATCGAATGGATGTTGATTTAGAGAACGAGCCCGCCAAAAGCACTAATGCTGACGACCAAGATGACGAGCAAAATAAGGAACGAGATGACGGCCAACATGACGACCAAGGTGCGATTGATGCTCAGCTTGCCCAGGAAGGCAGAACCAAGCCACGCCGGGATTTCACCATCAAGGACGAGCACCTGTTCATGGAGACAGATGAGGGTGACGATGGCAAAGAGAACAATGGCAAGGACGAGGCCCTACTCCATGGCATAGAGAAGCTGAAGAGGGAGCTTGTCGAGTTCGCCAAGGGCGTTTCACCCATTCCTGCAAACAGGCAGGAGCAGTTTGTGAAGGGCCTCCTTGTCCCAGAGAATGAGGAGCTCATCCGATATGTTGGATGTCTGGTGATGGGCGGCACCGCAACAAAATGGTATGACTTGCTTACGACTGACGAGTCTCGAGAGGCTATCGTCGTTGGCATAACGGCTCGAGCACTGAAAGAGCACGTTTTCGGCGACTACTTGTTCGGAGGCGACAAGTCGATCTTGGATCGATTGATGAAGATCGATACAGGTGGCAAATACCACTGTGGTAAGAAAAGCAAAATTGTTCAGTGGGATCCTTGACTGACCTTGTGCTCAGGCTTCGCTCGCACTGAGGAGCGTGCTAAGTTGGTGAATGGCTACCAGATCGATATATTAACCCGGCATCATCAAGTTGTGTCCTTCCACGCGCAGTTGGCAAAGCTCCTCACCCCATTCTGGTCTGATCAGGGGGCCGTTGACTTGTCCACTGGCAAGAGGGGAGACGAGCTCGCAGCCATCATCAGCCTCGCAGCGAAGATCGCGGAACTGATTCGGCGTGCGCCAGATGTCGTCTACTACTGGCCACCCGCCTTCAAGGATGAAGAGTTTGATCCCGCGCGTATGGAGGCCATCAATCTATGCCAGATGATCCAGTCCAGCCCGTACGACAAGAAGAAGGTTGGGGGAGTCCAGCGCGCCGTGCTCAGAGAGGGACTTGAGCATCAAAAAGAGGCAATCGTTCGCATCGTGACCTTTCCGGGAATAGTTGCATATCGTCAGTACGGCGGCAGGCTTGCGGCGGCGGAGCTCGCAGCCGAGGGAGAGGCCGAAAAAGGACAGCCTGAAGACGTTCTGAGGGCGCGAGACCGATTTGGCCAAGGCGTGACTGCGAAACAAGGCTTTCGCTCGAGGCTGATCACCAAGAGCGTGGTGTATCTCGAGTGGGGCCAGCAGCGGCTTCTGACCAAAGAGGCTGGTACGTCAGCCCATCTGGATGCAGTGCGTGATAGCAATACATCCAAGTACACCGATGACAGCAGCCGCATCGAGCTGTATACGTGGTATCAGGAGATCGACCACGTCCGTCGTAAGGAGGCGGCACCTGCAGGGGAGGTCGGTATAGGTAGCTAGATGTAGGTTAGGTAGGTAGCTGAGGTAGGAGGTGGCGGATGTTTGGAGATTGGCGTCGGTGGATGGATGGTGGTCAGTCAGGAGAGGAAGGTTAGGTTGCGATGGTCTCACAGGCGGTGGCAGGAGCAACGGAGGTGGAAGGGCCACCTCTTACCTCCGGAGGTAGAGGCTGGACAGTTCAGTTTCAAGTAGCAATGGAGTCCTGGTCCCGTGAGTGTGCGAGTACATTTTACCTCCTACCTCCTACCTCCTACCTCCTACTTCCTACCTCCGGCAACCGGTGTTCTAGGTTCCAATGTGTTCCTGCAGGTCCAGGTCGGTGACGCCGCCCGGCGCCCGTGACGGGGTGTCGGGAAGTCGGGAAGCCTTTCCACCTCCAGCCTGGCAGCCTCCAGCCTGGGCACAGTGGGCACAGTGGGCACAGTGGGCACAGTGGGCACAGTGGGCACAGTGGGCACAGTGGGCACAGTGGGCACAGTGGGAGTGGGCACAGTGGGCACCTGGAGGCATCCTGGATGGATGGCTTGAACGAGGCGTGCGACGGGGACGGGGACGGGGCAAGAGCCAAAAGTCGTGACTGCCCTTTCTCTTCAACTCTCCACTGGCACCTTACTCAGCTGTTGCCTCCACCAGCTAGGTAGGAGGTAGAGACGGGTAGGTAGCTGTCTCGCCACTTTTCCCCCTCCCGCTCACCACCCTTTTGACATCCCGTCAGTCAGTAGTCAGTCACCACCTACCTAGTGACCGACCTCCTAGGTACATAATAAGGTAGGTCAGGTAGGTACTGTACACGTAGTAGTGGACCTCTCCTGCCGACTTGACACCCTTCCGCTCGGCCACAGCGCGGCCGCCCTCAAACTTCCTCCGGCCCAATACTGGTCTCACGTCGACCGGCAAGCATGTGCACTGGACACTCCGGCCGCCTGGCGTGACTCTGGAATCCTATAGCGGTTGGCGGCAAAAGGCAAGGGAGCCTGGGAGTCAAATCCACGGAAAGTAATTATTCTGGCCAGCCTCGCGCGCGGCGTCACGGCGTGCGCCCTCTGTCAATTTGGCAGCAGTCTACTTTACTACTTACCACTCGGAGGTACCACTGTGCTGGCTTCACGGTTCGCTTCCATCCTCTTGCGCGTATGGACCATGCAGAGCTAGCTAGTCAGCGACCCAACAAAAGCAGCGCATCGCCCTTCGCACACCGTAATTCGGCTTTCTTCCTCGACCACCACCCGTAATGGCTCGAAAACTCACCTACCGCGCACTGCAGCCAGCACCACCCAAGCTTGCACCACCAGTCGGATCCAAGACCTCCTTCTTCGACTTGCCCGCGGAATTGCGCATCGAGATTTACCGACTGGCTCTGGAGAAGGTCGTGATCCATATCCTGCCAACCAGTCCGAAGCACGGCACAGATACGCCCGACAACAGTTCGCGAAGGCTCCCTTCGCCCCATGCCCTAACTCTCACTTCGAGACAAGTCCGCAATGAGGTATTACCCTTGATGCATGCAACTTGCCCCATCAAGTGTGCAGTCACCGACTTCAATTTCGATGGATTGCTTCTCTGGATTAAGCGAGTGCCGCCTCACGAAGAGACGCATCTGAAGAAGAACAAAAACCTCCTCATCACTTTAAACACAGCGGAGCCGACTCTCCCGAAGATTATGGACTCGATGCGTAAATGGCTACACATGCGTGCCGACAAGTGCCGTCCGCAACCTGACTGGAAATACGCGGGCTCAGCAGTACAGAACAAGGTTGGGGTCGACCTGAGGAGACGTACGAAACGGATGACAGAAGTTGGAAAGCAGAGGGAGAGCTGCAAAATTTTGGCTGCTTTGAACATTGCTCTGCCTAATGGTCTACTGCCAGATCCGGAGGAGGGACCCTCTAGATCCAACTCACAGCCTGCTGCCGACACGCCAGCCAGTGGACGCACTGGGACCGATTGAGCGAGTTCTGGAGAAACCTTCGGTCTGTGTTTGCGCCCAAGATGGGCTATCGGAGCTGCGAGGTGCTTCGATAGACCCAACTTGACTTCCTGACAGAACAACGAACACAGAAATCCCTATCTTCAACTATGTCCATTTCTTGCCTCTCTCTGCTCGCATGAGGCTCTGGATGCGCTTCAAATCCGGCTCGGGCTTGGGATCAGAATTGCTTTTCGCAGCCTTTTTCGAGAACCCTTCTTCTTGGGTGTGTTCTTCTCCCTTGGTCACTTTCAGGACGCAAGTGCCTCCTTCATATTCTCGGCTTTCGATCATCTTCAGCATCAGATTGGCTATATCTTCAGGTTGTAGCCCGGACTTCAACATCTTCAAATACTGTTCCCACGCTGCAGGGTCGTCTTCTCGATCTTCCCACAAAGGCGTTTGGACCAAGCCAGGAAGGACGCAAATTATTTTGACGCCTTCATCGACATCTGCTTGACCCATGGACTTCGCAAAGCCAAGTACAGCATGTTTTGAAGCTGTATACAGATTAGCCAGATAATGGCCACCAAGACCAGCCGTGCTAGACAACAAGCAAACGACGCCCTGCTTCTCCGCTCCAGCGAGAGCACGCATGGCTAGGCGGGTGAATTTGATCGGATGGTTGACGTTGATCTGGATTGTCTTGTAAGAATCCACCTCGGTATCGTCCCAGAAATTGCTCGACGGGGGCTCGAAGAGGCCGGCTGAGGGCACGTAAACGTCGGGAACATCGCCAAATGTATTCACACTGGATGAGATGAGGTCGTGCAGGGACTGCCAGTGGCTGACATCGCACTGCTGGAAGTGCATATCAGTAGCACTGGCAAGATATTCTTGCGCTGCTGGAACAAGCTTCAAGTCGCCAATCAGGACCTTTGCACCCCGTATGTTGCAGAGGCGTGCAAAGGCGAAGCCTACAAAACATAAGCGTGAGCAAGGAGCTCGCCACAACGCACTACGGTGCTCTTTTGGGTGAGCGGTCAGGAGTCGGGAAGTTGTACTGGGAGCGTCGGTTCTTGCTGTTGTTCATGATAAGAGCCCTCATGACTCCAAGCACAACCCCCAGCGATGTTCTCCGACCTCTTGAGCACACGCCGCAAGGCCATGCCACTTACCAATGCCCGACCCTCCACCAGTAATAGCGACGATCTTAGACTTGATTGGAAAGTCGAGCACGGGGCCGTATTGATGCATGGTCGATTGGGAAGCTGTAGATGTACTTTATAACAACAGTTGGGACGTATTCCCGTAATATGGCAGCGATCAGGAAAGGTCTTCAGCTGCCTAACATGTACATTGTATTGATATAGATCTCGATGCACGATGACCGTGAGGCTTGTCGCAACGAGGGGTGATTTCCAAAGTTTCTGTGCATGCCCTCTTGCGTCTAGTGTCTTCGTGCTTTGCGTCCCAATGGGTTGTTGTGGAAGAGCTTGGAGGTACCTCCTACCTCCTAGCATAAGGTACCAAGGTAGGACTAAGGTACATTCAGGTACATGTAGGTTGTGCTACGCGATTCAGGTTGCCGTTGTCGTGCACAGGCGTGTCGTCAGCAGAGCTTGGCGATCTCCAACTTTCACGTCAATAAACATCTTTGCGCCAGACAGCATACCATCACGACCATGCTATCCGAGGAACAACTACTGGAGACGGCAGCTAGCGATGGCTCACTAGATATGTACGGTCCCTTGCGACTGCAGTTGTAGGCCTTGAGCTGATTTGCGACAGCACAGAATGGCCTCGCGTGCTGGAGAGCTTGCTCCAACGACTTCACGATGTATGCAGGAAATTTGCTTCACGACGAGAGCAGCACTGATTGCCATAGATTGTCTATAACGAGTTTCCCATACCACAGCTGTCCCTCCACGAAGCCGCGCCGCAACATCCGCCAATAGACCCCGAAGTGGTCGCCTCGACACCGCCGCCACGAATACCCACCAGCGACGTCACCGATGTGACCGAGAGCAGTCTGCCAGGTCCCGAGAGTGAGCGTCCACCAGACAGCCAGAGCAGCTCGAAGGAGAATGAGGCCCCCGTTGTCAATCATGCCGCTGGGCGGCCTCTCGCGGCGCCTCGGGGCTTCGAGGTGACGACAGACTCGCAGCGCACAGAAGCAGTACCTTCACCCACCGTCCTCACAGACGGAATGCAGCTCTCGGTCCAAGGGACTCTGCCGCCCGAGCTATTAAGCATGTACCAGTCCTCCACAAAGATCCTGCAATACGACTTCGCTGAGAGCCCCCCGTATACAATCCAACGGCTGGCTGAGCTTGTGCTCCGCCCGAAGAGACACTACCGTTTTCTACCTGCTTACTTGCGTGCCCTCGATCGCATAGTCTCAGTCAGCTCGCCGTTGACGGACTTCCCTCTACCAACCCTGCGCGTACCGGCAAATGGAGGCTTCCTGACGAATGGTGAAGTGCAAGTCAATGGCGTCTCGGAAAGAGATGGTCTCGGTAGTGACGAGAGCTTAGGGGGCGCACTTCTGACACCTATACCATGGCTGAGAAATCAGACCGGTATTTTGGCGTCCTCTTCAGGCACAGACAGCAACAGTCAGGGTGAGCTCCACAGCGAAAGCACGGAAATGGTTGATGGTCCTCACGGACCAGGAGGCATCGAGACGGTATCTGTGACCGTGAACGGCATTCATAGCACGGGTGTGCCACAGCAGCAGGTGACATCTTCGCCCATTGCTTCACCGACGTTATCAGAGCAAAGCGATGCTAGCACCGGCTCTGCTTCGTCGACGGAGGCGCAGCTGAGAGAACAAGGGGCTGTCACACAGGGAGAGCTACTGAGGCAAGAGCAAGAAGCGGGAGTCGTGCCAATGAGTGCAGCAGGCCAGCCCCGGCGAGTATTGCATTATACTGGCGCTGTAGGTCGAGAGTCTGCTTCTGCAGTGCCTAGCATTACGGAGGCGGCGCTGGACGAAGGAATGGGAGAGCAGCCTCACGCCCGAGGACCAGAGGAGATCGGAGATGTGGATATGGGTCCTCAGAGGCGTCCTGGTGATGGTGGTCCGGCGCTTGATCTGGAAGCTGCAGTAGGCAGAGGCAGATCGAAGAGTCCTATGCCGGACATTGGAGACGCCTTCCCTGCTGCGCAAAGCGACGACGAGGTGATGGGAGAGCCTGGAGCACCTGGACAGGATTCACAGGACGTGGACAAGGACATCGAGCAGTTGAAGAGAGCTATGGACCAAGAAAAAGAACAAGAGGCAAAGGATGCCGACGGGGATGTCATGGTCGCGGACGTCGATGGGAATCCGGTTGAACAGAAAACAGATGGGGACAATCAGCCTGGCGCAGTGGACGCGACGACGATTTGAGAGACGCGGTAAGGTATATGTCGAGCTGAGCTACGAGATACCGCTGCGATGACGAGCATAGAATATGGAAAGGGGAAAGCAGGGCAGGTAGGACAGGAACGACTGGTAGAGCAGACAGTGCTGTCTACAGATTAGACATCTGCGTCGAGTCCCATGCCTTTCTACCACTCACTGTGCCTCCTTAGAATGGTCTCGAGATGTGGTTCAGCCAAAAAGAATCCCTTATTTTAACGATCAATACATGTAGGAGGTAAGGTAAGGTACCTAGGTAACGAAGCGTGTAGGCGGGTTTGGCACGGAATTCCGGAACATTCAACAGATACTGACCAGTGACCACACGCACGCCCGCCCACCTGAAAGCCACTCACTGTAGGTACATGTACCTTATTGAAGTAATGGTACATGTTTGATTTTTGTATAATTTTGCTGACCCAGCCGATATCTCGTGTAGTCTCTCTCTCTCTATCTCTCTACCAGCTATACCATTGCCTGTTGGTTGTAAGAGGTCTATCGGGCAGCGGCACCCAGACCTGCTCGGTAATCTTCTTCTTCCTCTTCGCTTCGCGCTCGGCGTGTTCTCGTATTCTCGTTGCCTCTTCCTTCAATATCACAGTCAAGCTCGTCCATGGCGTACGCATGATGAAGATGCGGCCTCGGGCTCGGTAGTCTGGCAGTTTACCATAGGGACCTCGTCCCACCCATGCTTGCTCGATGTAGATGTTGCTGCGATCCTCGATTTTATGGCGTTTGCCGTCCTTGAGCTGGATCACAATTTTCTTGGGCGCGTGCAGATTGTTCGTAGAATTTGCAGTCGATGTGTCGTCGAGGGGGTCTATCGAAAGATCCAGTTCCTCTGCCTCATCATTCGATTTGCCAACTTTACCCAAGCCCATGCCGCGCATCACGATAGCTTCATCTCGAGCCTGCTCCAGCTGCAGCATAACTTCCTGCGCTACTTTCTTCCCGCTGAACCGCATCTGCGTGATGGCATCGTCAATCGTCTTGCCTGAGATCTGTCTCGCAATCATGCCCAGCTTCTTGACCGAGGTTTTCATGTTGTGGCTTTTGACCAAGTGCTCGCGCTCTGTTCTCTTGAGGAATTGCGCCTTGGATAGTCTGCCACCGTTCTTGATCATCTGTATGACTTTTTTCCGCTCCCATCTCTCACGTGCATTGGGATCGGGTTGTGTGATTCGGGCGATCGTGGCTGCATTGCGCGGACGGAGGCCCGCTCTGCTACCATCCCCATCACCGCCATCGCGATCTCGCTGGGCTGCTATCCGGCGCTCGTCTTCGAAAATGGACGACGGAGCGATGTCTCCTGGTGCGGGCGGGGCTAGCTGTGGCTCCTGGGCATTCTGGTCGGGCTTTTCGGGATTCTGTCGTCGATATTCGTCCAAGATGGGGTTATCTGAGTCCAGTGTCTCGTCCTTGGTCTCCTTGCCGCGTTTGAAGAAGTCGCCCACAGCTGTCCGACGCTGTTGGTGTTGGAGCGTCCGCACGGGCAGATGAGCCTGGAATGTGCCTGTTTCGCAGCATGATCAGTTTGCATGGTCTGCCATATGCCCTGCGAGGCATGTACATACATCTGGAGGCCAAGCGCCGTACTGGCGCTGGTACACTCATGGCTACAGGCAGTATTTTTGGAGGCTCCTTGAGGGGATACAGTATACAGTGGACCATACAGTACCGGGCTGCAATCGGCGACTTTCAGAATGCGGCGACGCTAGGGAGAGGTTGCGCTTCGGGATATGCCGAGAGCACCCCCGTTCCCCGTCTCGCGGGCAGTGGAGCAGAAGTATCAGCAAAGTATCACTGGGGGAGTAGGAGGTAGACAGGTCATGGACATCGTTCTCGGGGGGACGAATAATGCGACTCCGAGACACAATTATCAGGTATTATTTTATTGCATGAATGCATGTTCGACCTGCGTGCTGACTACATGTACTAGCAGGTAGGAGGTAGGTAAGGTACATAGGTATGTATCTTTTTCTACCTCCTATACTCCATTCATGATGCCCGGGCAGTATGGACTCCTTGCGACTGGTCGACGTGTTGGTTGGTTGGTTGGTTATATATATATGCCTATATCTATATATATATATATAAACATGTCTTGTATATAGGAAAAAAAGATATAGATAGTACCGCGTTATACTTCTACTGATCGTGATTGATTGTTGCCCAGACCGTTCTACGGATCCGCGTCCGATAGGAACGAGAGCTTGTTGTGCTGCAGCATACTATTCAGGCCGGGTTCACTCCTCCGGCACGAACGTCAAATCTTTTTTTGTCCGCCGTGTTCCGTCGCCAACGAGGACGAGCTCTTCCACGCTGCTGCTGCTGCTGCTGCTACTGCTGCCGCGCCTGTCTTGTCTGTTTCATGAACCAGAGCATCCACACAGCTCCAGGAAATTCTCGTATTCTGACCACTGTCTTTTCCTCTTTGCGCCAATTGCCCGGTTTAGGCTATTGTGGCGTGAACCGGCTAGCGGAAAAAGCAGATGTCGACAGCGTCCCTGCATTTGCGACTACGGGCGGAGGACGAGTGGACGAACAGATCTGGCGTCGGCGTTGGGGTGTGAGTTTTGGGGGGCACGATGAACATCAACGCGTTGCTGTCGCCGGAGGATGGAGTGGGTGCCAGTGAGGGCGCCAGTGCAAATGCTGTTGCCGCTGCTGTTTCTGCTGCTGCTGCTGCTGCTGGTAGTGGTGGCGGTGGAATCAAGGCCCGCGCAACAACAGCAGCAGCATCATCAGCACCACCGCGAGGCATAGGCATAGGCACAGGCATGCGGCCCGTAGGTGGCAAACGCACTTCATCCGGATTGAGCCAGCAGCTATCACACTCGCCAGAGCGACCGACTGTTTCGCCAGTACCGCCAGGTGATGCCGCATCGCATCGGCCAGTTGTTCTCGGCGCGCAGCAGCATCAGCATCAACAACAGCAACAACAACAACAATTGTTCGCGCCACCGGTACAGGCTGCTCCGCCCATACGCCGCTCATTTCCCTCCACCAGCAATCCAGTGCGCTCGTCGGACCAACACAATGTGTATGGATATGCCCAGAGGCCTGCCGCAGCACCGAGGCCGTTGTCGAATCCTCAAATGGAAACTTTGACTGGTATGTGCATGACGGACCAGTTGGCGCATGGAATTTCCTACTGACTCGCGTTTGTACAGATCTTACTGGTGCTACTTCTTCTTCTCAGCATCGGCAACAACAACAACATCAACAACAACAACAACCACCACCCCGGGCATATTCACACGACCATCTCGGGACACAAACCCAGGCACGGCCCAAACTGCAGTCGCATCAGTCATCGAGTGCATCGCCCCCAGTCGCGCGGACCATTTCACGTCAAAGTCTGGCGGACCTCACCATGGCCGAGGCACCTGCCCAGACGCCTCCTCCCCGAGACTTTGTTTCCAACGCGTTGTCAGACGAGGAATCGCAACGAGTATCGGAACTGCTTGCCTATCTTCGCGAGAACTCATATGCGTACCAACATCATGTCGAGCTCATCAACTTACTGCACAAGGGATTCCTTGCGCATGTCGGTGCCACCGAGGCGATGCAACCAGGCGAGCCGAGCACGTATGCGCTTCTGAAGGAAATGAGACAAGCCAGAGAAGCTATGGACTCACGATTTGCTGTTGGAGAAGCCATCTGGATGGACTGGCTCAACGATGAGATTATCGCAGCCAAAAGTACTGAAGAACGAATTGCAGTTCTGGAGTTATGCCAGAAGGCTGTTGCAGACGAGCCAGCCTCTGTGAAGCTGTGGCAAGCGTACGCGGACTACGTCTCGGACAGCTACGTAGTATGCCACGCGTCACAGGACAGCAGCGACCAGGACTGGATCGCTGAGTGCAAAGAACTCTTTACGCTGGACTTGACGCTGAGCGTGCTCGAGCAAGCCGCGGCGGCCACACAATGGCGCATTGACGAAAGCCATACTATGTGGAATCGCTTTGCCAAAGTGGTCTACGACCAGCTGTCACAACACCCCTCTCCAGCTGAGGTGGGACGTATACATAATCTCTTCCTTTCCCGATTGAAGACGCCTCAAGCACATTGGGCGGACACCATGCAGCTCTACTGGCCAATCATTTCCAGGTTCGAGGGTGAAAATTGGGAAGCAGCAATAGCACATATCAATCAACAGGCTGAGCCGGCAAAAGCTTGCTATAGTTTGCGAGAGGACCATGAAGTCAAGCTTCGGCGAGCGATTGAAAGTCATGACAGTGCTGCCGTTCATCATCAGGTGGAAAGGTATCTCAAAGACGAGAGGTTTTATGCCTTGAAGCCACGAATGGCAAGTCCGTTCGACTACGAGCTACGATGCGCATTGTACGAAAGGGCAGTCCTGCTCGAACCCACGAACCTGGAGTGGTGGCTGGACTATGTCGACTTTCTCATGACAGATCCCAAATCTACCTCGCTCCTATCGGTCATTGAGCGCGCCACGCGTCACTGTCCTTGGTCAGGCGAGCTGTGGGCTAGACGAATACTGCGTGCAGATGTGGAGCAGCTGTCACGAGATGATATTGGTAACATCAAGCATCGTGCCACTAATGCTGGATTGCTAGATGTGGGAGGTCTCGAAGAGTATGTCAAGATGCTGCAGGAGTGGTGCAGCTACTTGCGGAGGTATGCTTTCCGGGAGACTAGCACCGAGGATGATATTGACACAGCCGAATTTGGCATGCATTCGGCCCTGGAAGATGTGCAGGAGGCTGGCAAGAGGGTCTATGGCGCAGACTTTCAAGGCGACCCCTTGTTCAGACTTGAGCAGATCCAGATCAAGTTCTTCGCAGAAGTGAAACGCATGGACCAAGCTAGAGACATCTTCAAGTCTTTATCGACGCGTCTGGGAGGCTCATTCGACTTCTGGAATAGTTACTACGCCTTCGAAATATGGCTGTGGGGCTGGGAGCGCATGCGCGAAGAACGCCGTGTTGAAAGGCCAGACAACACACCTGTGCTTGCACATCAAGTAGTGCAGGAAGCTCTTCAGCAGCGAAACTTGGACTTCCCGGAGAGAGTATTGCAGCTGTATACGAGCCACTTCCAACAGCACGGGTCTGGTGTCGCACTCCAGCACGCTCTTGCTGATGCTAGAGAGTTCAGCAAGAAGCTTGCTGCGCAACGTGCCAAGCAGCAAGAAGAAGCGGAGGCTGCGGCAGCACAACAGCAACAACAGGAACAGCTTGCGGCTGCATCGCAGGCACTGGATAGCATTGCAGTCTCGGGCGAGAAACGAAAGCGCGAGGACGAACACGAACATGTCGACTCCTCGAAGAAGGCCAAGACTCTCCTAGAACCGGTTGCAGAAGAACATCATGTCGATTCTTCTGCCACTGCAGATGCACTGAAGAAGCGCGATCGGGAAAACAACTCAATCACACTTCGAAATCTGCCGCTTAGTGTCAAAGACGTGGATATCAAGAAATTTTTCAACGGCTGCGGTAATCCTGTCTCGATCAATACTATCCAGGACAAAGGGGGGGAAACAGTTTCGGCAATAGTCGAGTTTGAGACAGAGGAAGATGTGAAGGCTGCCAAGACCCGCAGTGGCAAAGAGCTTGGAGGACGTGAGGTCAACATACAGAGCGGCACAGGCAGCACGCTTTACGTCACCAACTACCCGGCCGAATACGACGATGGGCTTATTCGTCGGCTCTTCGAGAGCTATGGCGAGATCGTCATGGTGCGCATGCCTTCGCTCAAGTACAATTCGCGTCGGCGCTTTTGCTATGTTCAATTCCTCACGCCTGATATGGCCAACGCTGCCGAGGCGGCTATGGACGGCAAGAAGCTAGATGGCCGTCACACTTTACTGGCAAAGATTGCCAACCCCGATGCGAAGAAACCACGCACTGGCGCGCTGAGCGAAGGTCGTGAGATCATGGTCAGACAATCCGATCGAGAGGCATCTGAACAGCAGATTCGCCAGTTCTTTGAATCCTATGGTGACATTGAACGAATGAACATTGTTCGACTTGTGAACAATAAGCCGACAGGTACGGTCTTCATCACTTATGCCACTGCCGAACAAGCTACCGCAGCTGTTGAGGGCACGAATCTAAAGCCTTTCCGCGATCGCATTCTTCAGGTGCAGATTGTGAGCCCCAAGGGCCGTGGCGCTGCACCTCACGAGCGTGCGGGACGTGAAGACTTTGTGGTCAAACAAGAAAAGCCGTCTGCTACCCCAGAGCCGGCCGAAAATGGTGTTCGTCGAGGATCCGATGTATCGATGCAGTCAGTGCCTCGCGACGAAGCTTCATATGAGGCTATCAAAGCACGCAAGATCGCCATCTTCAATATTGACGAGACTGTCAATGATGCTCGCATCAAGACTGCCATGGAACAGTACGGCCCCATCACCAAGATTCAGCTGCGCCGCGAGAGGCGTGGCGCCATCATCGAATTCAAAGACGTCAAGGACGCATTCAGGGTTCGCATGGGCGTCGATGTTCGCAGTTTAGGTAGTGAAGCGAGCACTGGCGACGTGACAGATTTGCTCGCAAAACAGCACCAGAAGAGAACCGGTGACGGATCCAGGCCCGCAGCTTTCAAGCCCGCCTTTGCTCACCCTCAAGCGACACGACCGGGTGCAGGCCGTGGTGGTCGCCGAGGCGGTCTGGGCTTCAAGCGTGGCGGATTCCCACCCAGTAGCGCAAGAGGTAATGTTGCTGGTGCTGGTGGTGACTCTGGAGCCGAGACCAGCAAAAAGAGCAACAACGATTTTCGCAGTATGCTGGAGGCGAGCAAGACGAAAAAGGATGAAACTAATGGCGATATGGAGGACTAGATGAGACTGCGGGGAGAAATAATATGTAGATGAGTTGTTGGTACGTACACCTTGTTGATATATATAACAAGCTGTCTTATGGTGTAATCACCTCAACCGGACAAATTTACTCAAAGCACATCAGCTGGGTTGTCAGTGTTCTGGCTCTCTCCCTCCCTCTCTCTCTCTCTCTCTCTCTCTCTCTCTCTCTCTCT